GATCTATGACAGGGTGGAACTCCCTGTGTCAGCAGAAAGGACTGATCTATGACAGGGTTGAACTCCCTGTGTCAGCAGAAAGGACTGATCTATGACAGGGTGGAACTCCCTGTGTCAGCAGAAAGGACTGATCTATGACAGGGTGGAACTCCCTGTGTCAGCAGAAAGGACTGATCTATGACAGGGTTGAACTCTCTGTGTCAGCAGAAAGGACTGATCTATGACAGGGTGGAACTCCCTGTGTCAGCAGAAAGGACTGATCTATGACAGGGTGGAACTCCCTGTGTCAGCAGAAAGGACTGATCTATGACAGGGTTGAACTCTCTGTGTCAGCAGAAAGGACTGATCTATGACAGGGTTGAACTCTCTGTGTCAGCAGAAAGGACTGATCTATGACAGGGTTGAACTCCCTGTGGCAGCAGAAAGGACTGATCTATGACAGGGTTGAACTCCCTGTGGCAGCAGAAAGGACTGATCTATGATGGGTGGAACTCCCTGTGTCAGCAGAAAGGACTGATCTATGACAGGGTGGAACTCCCTGTGTCAGCAGAAAGGACTGATCTATGACAGGGTGGAACTCCCTGTGTCAGCAGAAAGGACTGATCTATGACAGGGTTGAACTCCGTGTCAGCAGAAAGGACTGATCTATGACAGGGTTGAACTCCCTGTGTCAGCAGAAAGGACTGATCTATGATGGGTGGAGCTCTCTGTGTCAGCAGAAAGGACTGATCTATGACAGGGTTGAACTCCCTGTGTCAGCAGAATGAACTGATCTATGATGGGTTGAACTCCGTGTGTCAGCAGAATGAACTGATCTATGACAGGGTTGAACTCCCTTTGTCAGCAGAAAGGACTGATCTATGACAGGGTTGAACTCCCCGTGTCAGCAGAAAGGACTGATCTATGACAGGGTTGAACTCCCCGTGTCAGCGGAAAGGACTGATCTATGACAGAGTGGAACTCCCTGTGTCAGCAGAAAGGACTGATCTATGACAGGGTTGAACTCCCTGTGTCAGCAGAAAGGACTGATCTATGACAGGGATGAACTCCCTCTCTCAGCAGAAAGGACTGATCTATGACAGGGTTGAACTCCCTGAGTCAGCAGAAAGGACTGATCTATGACAGGGTTGAACTCCCTCTCTCAGCAGAAAGGACTGATCTATGACAGGGTTGAACTCCCTGAGTCAGCAGAAAGGACTGATCTATGACAGGGTTGAACTCCCTTTGTCAGCAGAAAGGACTGATCTATGACAGGGTTGAACTCCCCGTGTCAGCGGAAAGGACTGATCTATGACAGAGTGGAACTCCCCGTGTCAGCAGAAAGGACTGATCTATGACAGGGTTGAACTCCCTGAGTCAGCAGAAAGGACTGATCTATGATGGGTGGAACTCCGTGTCAGCAGAAAGGACTGATCTATGACAGGGTTGAACTCCCTGTGTCAGCAGAAAGGACTGATCTATGACAGGGTGGAACTCCCTGTGTCAGCAGAAAGGACTGATCTATGACAGGGTTGAACTCCCTGTGTCAGCAGAAAGGACTGATCTATGACAGGGTTGAACTCCCTGTGGCAGCAGAAAGGACTGATCTATGATGGGTGGAACTCCCTGTCAGCAGAAAGGACTGATCTATGACAGGGTTGAACTCCCTGTGTCAGCAGAAAGGACTGATCTATGACAGGGTTGAACTCCCTGTGGTAGCAGAAAGGACTGATCTATGATGGGTTGAACTCCCTGTCAGCAGAAAGGACTGATCTATGACAGGGTTGAACTCCCTGTGTCAGCAGAAAGGACTGATCTATGACAGGGTGGAACTCCCTGTCAGCAGAAAGGACTGATCTATGACAGGGTTGAACTCCCTGTGGCAGCAGAAAGGACTGATCTATGACAGGGTTGAACTCCCTGTGTCAGCAGAAAGGACTGATCTATGATGGGTGGAGCTCTCTGTGTCAGCAGAAAGGACTGATCTATGACAGGGTTGAACTCCCTGTGTCAGCAGAATGAACTGATCTATGATGGGTGGAACTCCGTGTGTCAGCAGAATGAACTGATCTATGACAGGGTTGAACTCCCTTTGTCAGCAGAAAGGACTGATCTATGACAGGGTTGAACTCCCCGTGTCAGCAGAAAGGACTGATCTATGACAGGGTTGAACTCCCCGTGTCAGCGGAAAGGACTGATCTATGACAGAGTGGAACTCCCTGTGTCAGCAGAAAGGATTGATCTATGACAGGGTTGAACTCCCTGTGTCAGCAGAAAGGACTGATCTATGACAGGGATGAACTCCCTCTCTCAGCAGAAAGGACTGATCTATGACAGGGTTGAACTCCCTGAGTCAGCAGAAAGGACTGATCTATGACAGGGTGGAACTCCCTGTGTCAGCAGAAAGGACTGATCTATGACAGGGTTGAACTCCCTGTGTCAGCAGAAAGGACTGATCTATGACAGGGTTGAACTCCCTGTGGCAGCAGAAAGGACTGATCTATGATGGGTGGAACTCCCTGTCAGCAGAAAGGACTGATCTATGACAGGGTTGAACTCCCTGTGTCAGCAGAAAGGACTGATCTATGACAGGGTTGAACTCCCTGTGGTAGCAGAAAGGACTGATCTATGATGGGTTGAACTCCCTGTCAGCAGAAAGGACTGATCTATGACAGGGTTGAACTCCCTGTGTCAGCAGAAAGGACTGATCTATGACAGGGTGGAACTCCCTGTCAGCAGAAAGGACTGATCTATGACAGGGTTGAACTCCCTGTGGCAGCAGAAAGGACTGATCTATGACAGGGTTGAACTCCCTGTGTCAGCAGAAAGGACTGATCTATGATGGGTGGAACTCCCTGTGTCAGCAGAAAGGACTGATCTATGACAGGGTGGAACTCCCTGTGTCAGCAGAAAGGACTGATCTATGACAGGGTGGAACTCCCTGTGTCAGCAGAAAGGACTGATCTATGACAGGGTTGAACTCCGTGTCAGCAGAAAGGACTGATCTATGACAGGGTTGAACTCCCTGTGTCAGCAGAAAGGACTGATCTATGATGGGTGGAGCTCTCTGTGTCAGCAGAAAGGACTGATCTATGACAGGATTGAACTCCCTGTGTCAGCAGAATGAACTGATCTATGATGGGTGGAACTCCGTGTGTCAGCAGAATGAACTGATCTATGACAGGGTTGAACTCCCTTTGTCAGCAGAAAGGACTGATCTATGACAGGGTTGAACTCCCCGTGTCAGCAGAAAGGACTGATCTATGACAGGGTTGAACTCCCCGTGTCAGCGGAAAGGACTGATCTATGACAGAGTGGAACTCCCTGTGTCAGCAGAAAGGACTGATCTATGACAGGGTTGAACTCCCTGTGTCAGCAGAAAGGACTGATCTATGACAGGGATGAACTCCCTCTCTCAGCAGAAAGGACTGATCTATGACAGGGTTGAACTCCCTGAGTCAGCAGAAAGGACTGATCTATGACAGGGTTGAACTCCCTCTCTCAGCAGAAAGGACTGATCTATGACAGGGTTGAACTCCCTGAGTCAGCAGAAAGGACTGATCTATGACAGGGTTGAACTCCCTTTGTCAGCAGAAAGGACTGATCTATGACAGGGTTGAACTCCCCGTGTCAGCGGAAAGGACTGATCTATGACAGAGTGGAACTCCCCGTGTCAGCAGAAAGGACTGATCTATGACAGGGTTGAACTCCCTGAGTCAGCAGAAAGGACTGATCTATGATGGGTGGAACTCCGTGTCAGCAGAAAGGACTGATCTATGACAGGGTTGAACTCCCTGTGGCAGCAGAAAGGACTGATCTATGATGGGTTGGTCTCCCTGTCAGCAGAAAGGACTGATCTATGACAGGGTTGAACTCCCTGTCAGCAGAAAGGACTGATCTATGACAGGGTTGAACTCCCTGTGTCAGCAGAAAGGACTGATCTATGACAGGGTTGAACTCCCTGTGTCAGCAGAAAGGACTGATCTATGATGGGTTGAACTCCCTGTGGCAGCAGAAAGGACTGATCTATGACAGGGTTGAACTCCCTGTGTCAGCAGAAAGGACTGATCTATGACAGGGTTGAACTCCCTGTGGCAGCAGAAAGGACTGATCTATGATGGGTGGAACTCCCTGTCAGCAGAAAGGACTGATCTATGACAGGGTTGAACTCCCTGTGTCAGCAGAAAGGACTGATCTATGACAGGGTTGAACTCCCTGTGGTAGCAGAAAGGACTGATCTATGATGGGTTGAACTCCCTGTCAGCAGAAAGGACTGATCTATGACAGGGTTGAACTCCCTGTGTCAGCAGAAAGGACTGATCTATGACAGGGTGGAACTCCCTGTCAGCAGAAAGGACTGATCTATGATGGGTGGAACTCCGTGTCAGCAGAAAGGACTGATCTATGACAGGGTGGAACTCCCTGTCAGCAGAAAGGACTGATCTATGACAGGGTGGAGCTCCCTGTCAGCAGAAAGGACTGATCTATGATGGGTGGAACTCCCTGTGGCAGCAGAAAGGACTGATCTATGACAGGGTGGAACTCCGTGTCAGCAGAAAGGACTGATCTATGACAGGGTTGAACTCCCTGTGGCAGCAGAAAGGACTGATCTATGACAGGGTTGAACTCCCTGTCAGCAGAAAGGACTGATCTATGACAGGGTGGAACTCCCTGTCAGCAGAAAGGACTGATCTATGACAGGGTGGAACTCCCTGTGTCAGCAGAAAGGACTGATCTATGACAGGGTGGAACTCCCTGTCAGCAGAAAGGACTGATCTATGACAGGGTTGAACTCCCCGTGTTAGCAGAAAGGACTGATCTATGACAGGGTTGAACTCCCTGTGTCAGCAGAAAGACCTGTCAGTACAATGGACTGATCCATGACAAAATAAACCACCATTCACTTAAAGGATTTGTTTGTTTGTTTGTTGGTTAAAGCCGCACTCAGCAATGTTCATGCTATATGACGTCTCACTTACAGGAACAATAACTACATGCAAATCAAAACAAAAGCAACAGTATAGCAACAAAGGAGATTTATGACAACAAACATTTAATATATTAAAGCTGTGTATTAAATACAGATTGTCATTGATCAATGAAGTCATTTTCAAAGTCAACTGAGATATTGACTAAATTGACAAGGAATCATCATAAAGTCACTCAACATATTGAACAATGGGTAGATTTCTGTAGAACAGCCTAGAGCCATGAATGTTTCTGTGTAAAGAAAAGTGTCCAAGATCAATTACACCCAACATGACCCCTTCCTAAAAATATTAAATACAATGCTAAAGCACAAATATAATTAACCTCAGATGTTTACTCCTACATGATACCTCTCTGCCTGAAGATCTGACAATCCATCACTCCACAGGTTGTGTCAGGTGAACCTTAAACTTTGAGCACCCAGTCTAAATGAAGGTGGGTGGGTTACTGTCAGCTTTCCTTAACAATTTGGCTTCAATTCGATACAACCATGATTCAGGCATTTCGATGATAACACAAAACACTACAGAATACCTTTGGGTGTAGAATCAATTGCACTCAGAAATGTCAGGGTGTATAACATTTTACACAACAATACAATGCCATGGCTCTTATTATTTACATTCGGAACTGTTTTCTAATCATGCAACCTTGAATAGTTTCACACTGCATATTTCAAACAACAGTTACGGGCTGTACGACGGATTTGATCAAAGTCATCGTCTATCTCTTGCTTCAATGGGATAAACATTTGCAATGAACGAGACTTTTGAATTGCTGTCATATAATCTCGACCATCTGTTAGACATTCCAGAATTGTCGTTTGTTCAGTTTTCAAATTTTGAATAGATATTTTTCAAAGCGTATAAAAATCAGGAATGAAAGTCTCACCAGTTTGAAAATTGTGCAATAAAGAACCAGAAAGCTGCTTTCTGATAGACTAATGTCGACTTCTTGTTAGTCTTTGGTCAGTCAGAGTTGGCAAAACATTGTTCAGAAGTGACCTGTAATGGTATGTCCTCAGATCTATGTGTAGCAGTAGCGAGCATCAAGATCTGATTTTAATGAGATTGAATCTTCATGCGAAAAAGTAACACATGTCTTTTTAATGATTAAGTTAGTATTTCAGCAATATCTCGGCAGGGGACACCAGAAATGACCTTCACACATTGAATCCATGTGGGGAATCGAAACCTGGGCCTTCAGCGTGACAAGCGAAAGCTTTAACCACTAGGCCACCCCACTGCGCCGTGAAGATAATTGCCAAAGTACATCTCTCTTTAACTCATTCCTTACACAAGTCACTGCTGTCCCCATACACTTCATAGTACATGCCAATCAATAAACATATTCAATTACAATACACACATTTCATCAGGAACATAATGCTTTAAATAATGCTGTATAAAAATATGAAAACTAAAGTTGCTTTATCATGTGAAAACAAGAAAAATATAAACATGTTTCATTATTAACATTGTTTTACAATTCAAAATATGTAAAATATTACTAAAAAATGTGGGGTATATTCCATTTTGGTCAGCAATAATATGTAATATAAAGGATGTAAACTTTATGTAAAATAATGACTTTAACTAATATGAAAGTGATTTTCCCCAGCAAAAAGTCCACAATTTGTCACACAAATAACTGAGCTTAAATAGTTGGTCACTTGTAAATAGAACAAATGGCTACAAACATCATAATATATTTAAATTGCTCCATGTCCTCATCCACAAGATTCATAACAATTATCATCAAAATGTTTTGAAAACATGCATAACAAGTGTATACAACAATTGTTTTTATAAAGTTGCCGTTCCAGACAAAATGCATCTGAATAAACAAGATTTTACCGACTTGTGTAGTTGAAAATTATGGCATTATCGAACATGATGGCAATGACACTTCTGAATACAACTCAGTGTGTTGTGATCGTGATGTGATTTAAACTGACGGCACTCTTGTTGGATACTGAAACCTGACATACATATTTTGTTTATCATATGGTTTATGATCATATAACTGAATTAATGAACACAACCGTATTAACGATTCCACAAACACTACAGCATAATCAATGTCTTACAGACACCAGTGTCAGTGGAACATGAGATGCTTTTAATAATGCTGTATCAAAACATACAAACCTGAACTTGCTTTACCATTTCCACAAACACTACAGCATAGTGTAACATGAGCAGTCTCCAGCGTGACACTCAAACGCTTTAACCACTAGGCTACCCAACTGCCCAATAAGGTGTGGATAACAAAGGGTTATTACATTAATGTTCAGGTCATACTTACAATAGGCACTTGTCCTATCGTCCTTGCCAAACGGCCAAATAGTTAAGGTATCATAAGGACTAGTAGAAATTTGCCCGTTTTAAGGGTTTTGCATAATGCTATCATAATAAGGACTAGTGGATTAAAACTGTTTGTTTCTATCGATAACTTATGTCATCAACTTAGATCACATGTATTTCCCTTGCTGACAATGTTAAAATACAAGTCAGTATCGTGCAAGCCCTGAGACAGTTACTGCTACATACACATTCTGTAAGAGGACAGAATATTTAGGTAAATACTTGTTTCTATTTTAATTGAATACCAGGAAATTGAATTTGCAAATCAAATTATTAAGATAATGCTGTTCTAAGCTGATTTCATTGCTTTTCTTCCATATCACTAATGCCAACAGGACACTGCCATGGAAACTTCCTGGTCCAAGTCTTTTCCTCAGGGTATAAATAATACCACCTCATTGTAACAATGCAAAAGTATGATAAGAGGTTAGGCGATGCAAAATAATACTAGCTCATTGTAACACAGAAATACATATGATAAGAGGTTGGTCATGCAAAAATGTAATAAAAAGCAAATATAAAAAAATTAAATACACATCAAGAAAAATCAACAAAGTAATGCTTACAAAACATCTTTTTCAGTTGGACAAGCGGGACGTATTCCCACAACTTATTGTGAAGTAAAGCTAAGAAATTACTGCCAACTGTGGCTTTCAATGCCATAGTGATATCTTTGGTTCAAGTTTCCCTCAGGGTATGAACGACCCATGGAATGTGATCGGCATCTTGACACCAGGGGGCGTCTCTGCTCTCGCCAGTTCCTTGAATGTCTTCCCATCAAGCACCAGGAGGAAGGCCTTGAGGTCTGGTTTCATCGGGAATACAGGGGACAGAATTACACCTGGAACATACAGAAAGATTCAGTATTGATTTGACATTTAGTGAAAAGACTGAAGGAGGAGAGACCAGGGTACAGATTGATATGGCTGCAAATACGAGTAAATCCCCCAAACACCCACACATTCCTACTTAGACAGATATTCAGAAGACCTAAATACTGGGAGACAAGGACCTCATGTTCAGAAGACCTGACAGATGGAGAGTCAAGCACTCAGATATTCAGAAAGCCTAATAGACTGAGAGGGCAAGAAATTAGACGTACAGGAAGACTAAGGGACAAGAACTTAGATATACAAAGACCAAGAATAGAAAGAGGCAAGCACTTACATACAAAAGAAATAAAAGACAGTTAGACAAGTAATTTGGCATATAGAAGAAGTAAAAGACTGAGAGACAAGTACTTAGATATACAGATTAACTAAAGGACATAGACGAATGTACTTAGACACACAGAAGAACTAAAGGACTAAGAGACAAGCACTTAGACACACAGAAGAACTAAAGGACTAAGAGACAAGCACTTTGACACACAGAAGAACTAAAGGACTAAGAGACAAGCACTTAGACACACAGAAGAACTAAAGGACTAAGAGACAAGCACTTAGACACACAGAAGAACTAAAGGACTAAGAGACAAGCACTTAGACACACAGAAGAACTAAAGGACATAGAGGAAAGCACTAAGTCATCAGGAGAACAAAAAGACTGAGAGACAAGCACTTAGACACACAGAAGAACTAAAGGACATAGAGGCAAGTACTTAGACACACAGAAGAACTAAAGGACATAGAGACAAGCACTTTGACACACAGAAGAACTAAAGGACATAGAGACAAGCACTTAGACACACAGAAGAACTAAAGGACATAGAGGCAAGCACTTAGACACACAGAAGAACAAAAAGACTGAGAGGACACACAGAAGAAATATAAGACAAAGAAATAGGTACTTAGACACACAGAAATAAAAGACTGAGCGACAAGCACTTAGACATACAGAAGAACTAAAGGACATAGAGGCAAGCACTTAGACACACAGAAGAACTAGAGGACTGAGAGACAAGCACTTAGACACACAGAGGAACTAAAGGACATAGCGGCAAATATGTAGACACACAGAAGAAATATAAGACAAAGAGATAAGCACTCAGACACACAGAAGAACAAAAAGACTGAGAGACAAGCACTTAGACATGGCCTACAGAAGTATCAATAGACAGGAAGACACTGGGGACAAGACAACCAAAACATACAGAGGACATGACAAAAAACAGAGGACTTCATCAGCAGATCAGAACTAGACAGACATCTGGAGGATGAACAGATCCCAAACATTATTAAGTAATAAATACGAAGGTAAATACAAAACATGGTTCGGCAGACTGCCAAATCAATATAGGAATTAAGACCTTCAGACTGCACTGACAGGCACACACAGATATAAGTGGACGGACTAAGGATCCTCCAGAAGCACATACCATCGTCCTCCTCTGTGCCCTCAGGGCGAGCAATGAAGACTGGCTCCCCAGGCTGGTCCTGATCCTCAGATTGCCAGTGAACACAGGTCTTGGTCTTCAGGTCCAGCTTGGTCAGCTGAAATAACGAGTATTTTTCGTTGATGTGGACCTCACACTACACATGCGGATCCACTCCAGGGTGCATAGAGTGTACACTCCACCCTTATGAAGCCGACTAAACATTTGTAAATTTGTATAGTTTGTCCAGTTTTCTCTTGTGAACAGTGAATGGATGTTCTAAGTGTTCTTATCATACCTCCATTTCAGAATGAAGAGATCTGATTGGTCCACGTGATCTTGATCAAATACTGTGTAACCTGCCTTAGAGGGGAAAGGTAGTATGAGAGATATTGTTGAGTCTGTTTAAAGATGTTGTGTAGACAAGAAAAGGTTAGTCACAAATATGAATATTTTGGACATGCACTTGGTGCATGCAGACATAAACATTAGGTTGCATTTCCAATCATACGTTGCACTGGTGCCTGTTTTATATATTTATATCGAGCCCTGCCTATGGAGATGGGATAGCCGAGTGATGAAAGCGGAATTCACAATGGAATGAAAAACCTTCCAAGGCTCCATCCCTAAAATTCAAGGCCATCCATATTATTATTTTTTTCTCACAATCTTACAATTTCAGCTATTTATGTCTCAACCAGGGGCAGACTATCATTAGGATGGAGTTAATGTGGCTACTGACAATAGACTGAATGCAAATTTTTTGTTTTAACTTCAACGAAAAAGATTTGAAACCATAAAATGACAAAGGTAGTTATGTTTAGGAAATTAATTTGAGATGGGGTTTGTTGGTAGGTTTTAAGGCCTTTTTCAAGAAGTCACATTATTCATTCTGAAGCTTTTTTCAAAGCAGAATTATAATTGGCGGCCTTTTCGAAGCCCTATGAACCTGTGCAAGGACACTCTACCTTGGCCTTGTCTGTCAAGAATTCGGTTCCATACACATATCTGTATTTCTTTGTGTTGTAGGCATAGTTGATTCTTGGAAGTTCCATTAATACAGCTTTAGATGAATCTGTAAATAGTGAGTGGAGGAGTGAGTTGGGTGTCACACCACTTTGATCAATATTCCATTAATATCACGGTATGTCTGCTTAATGGGGAGGAAACCCCAAGGGGTGCAGGTCTTAGACGTTTACCACTTTGGTTAAACCCACAGGCATGGTATGGTGCTGACAAACCTAGAAACATAATGGGGGCGAACCAGGATTGGAACCCACGATCATAGGTTTCTGGCGTGCCCAAGGGACACACCTGTCCAGGTGTGAAAGGAAGAGCGAGTAGAGTCAGATGAAAATGACGTAATGCTTATTCACCATTAAGTGAGTGAGTGAACGTTGTTTAACACACAGTCAGCAATATTACAACCATATGACATTAGTCTGAATATGATAAAGTCTGGACCAGACAAACCAGTGATGAGCATGATCTAGGGGCATGGTGTCACACACTCTGCCAGTCACTCTGGACCAGACAATCCAGTGATCGAAAACATAGAGCATCGATCCACGCAATTGGGAAATGATGACATGCATCAACCAAGTCAGCGAGCCTGACCGCCCGATCCTGTTAGTGGCCTCTTACGACAAGGATAGTCGCCTTTTTCAGCAAGCATGGGTTGCTGAAGACCTATTCTGACCCAGGTATTCACGGGTGCCAACCAGCATGGGACACACGATAGCGGGATCCTTCTCTGGAATCCCCATGGGGTATAAACAATGAAATTCTGGTTTCATAAACATACACAGTTTGCCTTATAAACCTTGGTGACATCTAAAGGCTTAAAAGATAAAAGAATTGATTTTCAGGCAATGAGTTTTGAGAAAATAGTGCAGGCGGGCGATGTTTTTTTTTGCTTGTTCAATCTAGTATGTAACAAACAGTTGTGTAGCCTCAGCCTGGGAAAGGGCCTCTCTATATTAACTAGCATACAAACTCCTATTGCTGCCATAACCATAAAACGAGAGTGCGCAGTAAAGCAGTGTGCATGTAAAGGGAAGTAACTGTGTGCTATATTTGGATCGCATTGTTTTTAAGTAAATGTATCTTTATTTTTTTATTTGGGGGAAAATGGAAATAAAACCGAAACATGCGGCAGACTTTATGATGATGTGGGCAGTGCCTGAGCACCAATGGTGTTATTTTTTTCAGCCTGATGAAGTATTAATGATCACAGTGTCTCTATCTTCTGTCAACGATGTAGGATTTCCCACAGCAAGTTCTCAGTCAAAATGTCACCCACCTCCGGTGATGTAGTCAGGGGTACAGAAGATGGAGCCGTCCGGCTGTTTGACCGCTGTAGCTGATGTGTCGGACAGCGTCACCAGATTCTTGCCAGATTCTGCCTACAGTTGGGGAATCACAAACATACAATCTATACAACCAGATTCAGCTTCAGCTTCATGTTATCAATGTCTAAAATATATATTCACCCTACTGGACCCGTGAATATCTGGGGTAGAATAGGTCTTCATCAACCCATGCTTGCCGTAAAAGGCGACTAACGGGATCGGGTGGTCAGGCTCGCTGACTTGGTTGATGCACGATCATCAGTCCCAATTGCGTGGATCGTTGCTCATGATATCAATCACTGGATTGTCTGGTCCAGACTAGATTATTTACAGACCTCCGTCATATAGCTGCAATATTGCTGAGTGCAGCGTTAAACAACAAACAAACAATCAAACCAATCAGCCTACTTGCGAACAATGACCATGCAATATGACCTGCAAGAGCATGTTGAATGAGATTTAAAGCCCAAAGCTGTTCTTGACTTGAAAGGTACAAATTCTGAATGAGATGACATTCAGCATAGCAACACTAATATCGAACCATTACATATTATGTTTGAAACCCCCATCACACATTACCTTCGCGACATCCAGTGGCAGAACGTAACGTCTCACTTTGGCATTTTCCCACTTTGGCTCCTTCTGCGTGATGGAGTGAAGGTAAAGGTCACGCACAGCTTCCCCACTGTCAAAGGCACAAAGGTCGATGACCAGATGCCTGTCTTCCTCATAGCAGTTGATGAAGTGGAAGCAGAAGAAAGAATCCGCATTATACTGTGTCGTGATCGTCTCTCCATCCGAGCGACGAGTAAGATGAATCAAAGACTGAAAGAAAGTCATTTCAATCAACAATTCTTTAAAATAAAATAAAAATATCAATGCCCTGGGTTCATGTAATGAAATTAAGAGGAGAAAAAAACATAACTGTTGCTAAGAGAATGCTTAAATGACCTAGCTCAAACTTAAATGTTTTCTGTTCAAAATGACAACTTCAAAATGAATTTATTGTGACCAACATCCAGATCAATATTCTGTGTATTGTGCATATATACTCTGTGTTGTTTTTGGAAAACACTGTTTATTGTTTTCACGGATGTGCTCCACTCAGCGCTAATAAGCAGTGCTATTTGTTGTTTGATTGGATTAAGGTGAGGATATGTATCATTCCACTGGGGATGCGGTGGGGGGAGTCGCATTGATATTGAGTCGCATTTTTGGCTAGGGGTCAGCAGTCATATTAATTTGGAGACACATTAATTTGCAGATTTACAGTATGCCATCCTGTGCAGGCAGGCTTAACATTGCTATCTCACCCAGACACTGTATACTGACTCAGAGCTGACCAGTCCTTGTTTTAGCCCCATACTGCCAAGTACAAGGCAGGGTAACAACAAGTATAATCTTTTAGCATCTTTTGAGGCGGCCTGAGGATCCGTCCGCTCTCCTAATTATAAAATGACAATATGTTATTTTCAGGACTAAATAACCTCCTACACAAGTGACAATACGTTGTTTTCAGGACTAAATAACCTCCTACACAAGTGACAATACGTTGTTTTCAGGACTAAATAACCTCCTACACAAGTGACAATACGTTGTTTTCAGGACTAAATAACCTCCTACACAAGTGAAAATACGTTGTTTTCAGGACTAAATAACCTCCTACACAAGTGACAATACGTTGTTTTCAGGACTAAATAACCTCCTACACAAGTGACAATACGTTGTTTTCAGGACTAAATAACCTCCTACATAATGTTTCTTACCTTCTCCTCAGGATAGTTATCCATGCATGTTTCAAATGCTGCCCCCCAGATGTTCATTACAGACAACTTCAAGAGGTTGGCAACCAGAGTCTGTTCCAGGACAACAAAGTAGTTCTCCGACATCCCAAAGCTGTGGTTGTAGCCGATGTTCACCTTCCAGCGAGATGGAATGGTTGACACCAGGGATGCCCGGGTGAAGGGGTTGTCTCCCCCTAGAATGATTTTAACTTCAAGGTCATTGCGTAATATAAATATAATATTTCAAACACTAAGGGGCTGGTCAAGTATTGTAGGGGTGGGGGGAAGGGGTAGGTCTTCCTGTACTTGGGAGAGATTAGTCTTAGAACTCTTGTCAAATTTTGCCATTCTCCCCCCATCCCATTTTATGTAACAAATTTTCATCCAGAACTATTTTGAAAAAAATAGAACAGTGCATTTTTTTCATGGCCCCCACTTATAGCTGTGATATATATAAGTCACCCCCATCTATTGTGGTGTCAGACCATACCCACCCACCTACACCCCATCTTTTGTGGTGTCAGACCATACCCACCCACCTGCACCCCCATCTTTTGTGGTGTCAGACCATACCCACCCAGCTGCACCCCCATCTTTTGTTGTGTCAGACCATACCCACCTACCTGCACCCCCATCTTTTGTGGTGTCAGACCATACCCACCCACCTACACCCCATCTTTTGTTGTGTCAGACCATACCCACCTACCTGCACCCCCATCTTTTGTTGTGTCAGACCGTTACCACCCACCTGCACCCCCATCTTTTGTTGTGTCAGACCATACCCACCCACCCACCTACACCCCATCTTTTGTGGTGTCAGACCATACCCACCCACCTGCACCCCCATCTTTTGTGGTGTCAGACCATACCCACCCAGCTGCACCCCCATCTTTTGTTGTGTCAGACCATACCCACCTACCTGCACCCCCATCTTTTGTTGTGTCAGACCATACCCACCCACCCACCTACACCCCATCTTTTGTGGTGTCAGACCATACCCACCCAGCTGCACCCCCATCTTTTGTTGTGTTAGACCGTTACCACCTACCTGCACCCCCATCTTTTGTTGTGTCAGACCATACCCACCCACCTGCACCCCCATCTTTTGTTGTGTCAGACCGTTACCACCCACCTGCACCCCCATCTTTTGTTGTGTCAGACCATACCCACCCAGCTGCACCCCCATCTTTTGTTGTGTCAGACCATACCCACCCACCTGCACCCCCATCTTTTGTTGTGTCAGACCATACCCACCCACCTGCACCCCCATCTTTTGTTGTGTCAGACCATACCCACCCACCTGCACCCCCATCTTTTGTTGTGTCAGACCATACCCACCCACCTGCACCCCCATCTTTTGTTGTGTCAGACCATACCCTCCCACCTGCAACCCCATCTTTTGTTGTGTCAGACCATACCCACCTACCTGCACCCCCATCTTTTGTTGTGTCAGACCGTTACCACCCACCTGCACCCCCATCTTTTGTTGTGTTAGACCATACCCACCCAGCTGCACCCCCATCTTTTGTTGTGTCAGACCATACCCACCCAGCTGCACCCCCATCTTTTGTTGTGTCAGACCATACCCACCCACCTGCACCCCCATCTTTTGTGGTGTCAGACCATACCCACCTACCTGCACCCCCATCTTTTGTTGTGTCAGACCGTTACCACCCACCTGCACCCCCATCTTTTGTTGTGTCAGACCATACCCACCCACCTGCATCCCCATCTTTTGTTGTGTCAGACCGTTACCACCCACCTGCACCCCCATCTTTTGTTGTGTCAGACCATACCCACCCACCTGCACCCCCATCTTTTGTTGTGTCAGACCGTTACCACCCACCTGCACCCCATCTTTTGTTGTGTTAGACCATACCCACCCACCTGCACCCCAATCTTTTGTTGTGTCAGACCATACCCACCCACCTGCACCCCCATCTTTTGTTGTGTCAGACCGTTACCACCCACCTGCACCCCATCTTTTGTTGTGTTAGACCATACCCACCCACCTGCACCCCAATCTTTTGTTGTGTCAGACCATACCCACCCAGCTGCACCCCCATCTTTTGTTGTGTCAGAACATACCCTCCCACCTGCACCCCCATCTTTTGTTGTGTCAGACCGTTACCACCCACCTGCACCCCCATCTTTTGTTGTGTCAGACCGTTACCACCCACCTGCACCCCCATCTTTTGTGACGTCAGACCATACCCTCCCACCTGCACCCCCATCTTTTGTTGTGTCAGGCCATACCCTCCCACCTGCACCCCCATCTTTTGTGGTGTCAGACCATACCCACCTGCACCCCATCTTTTGTTGTGTCAAACCATACCCACCCACCTGCACCCCCATCTTTTGTTGTGTCAGACCGTTACCACCCACCTGCACCCCCATCCAATCATAAATGGTCACTAATACAGATGACTCTCATTATTTGAGAGATGTGTATGTCAAGTTGCATCTTCAACTTCACATCTATCCTCCTATCAGGTAACTTACAGCTTCTGTCCAAGAAGATCTTGTAGAGGGATTATGCTCCAATTAGGAGATACATGTTATGTGTTTTGGGACTTGCATGGGTTTTTGAGGATTCAAATCATGGAAAATTCAATTCGAACCGCCATAGGTTTCAAATGTTAAAATCTCTGAGCATCGAGTACTCAATAACACCCGCAAACCTAAAACACATAATGTTTATCGACATTCTAAAATACTACAGTTATCAGTTATTATCACTTTCTCCCTATGTGAACACTCACAGTTGTGAGACATATATGGCATTACTACAGAATGAGGTGACATTACACTGGATCACTATTACCATTAGCATGTGTTTCCAACGTCTCTGTTTTGGAAAACATTGGACCGAGTCATCTTGACTTTGAGAAGTATCAGGGAGTCATTTCACAGAGCAATCTTAGCGCTACGACTGGCGTAAGGCTATGTTAAGTATGGAAGACAATAGTCTTAGCGCTAAGATTAGTTAGTGGAACAGCACCCTGATCAACAGGTTTAGAAACATAAGTGAGTGAGTGAGTGAATGAGTGAGTGAGTGAGTTTGGTTTTACGCCGCTTTTAGCAATATTCCAGCAATATCACGGCGGGGGACACCAGAAATGGGCTTCACACATTGTACCCATGTCGGGAATCGAACCCGGATCTTCGGCGTGACAAGCGAACGCTTTAACCACTAGGCTACCCGACCGCCCCTTTAGAAACATAAAAACATAGATACCTCTTTCTTTTGGAGGTACCTTCACAATGCTGTATGCCTGCTTCTGGTTGAATGATGTTGCCAGGTTGTACATGGTGCCGTCAAAGTCCATGTGTGGGTGAGCCGTGGCGATGTGCACCGCCACAATGTGCCCAAGGGGTATCTTGTTACGAATACACCAAATACATACAGGTTCAAATCTGGCACATCTATTGTATTTGATTTCAGTTACTGAAAATAGCGGAAGTCCAAGACACTGGCACTACTAAGCCCATCAATTTCTCCTTTTAATCCTTGACAGCTGAGGTCTAAAAGTACTGAAATAAATTGATTGACTGACAGCTTTCCACATGTTATGACACTGATGCAGAATTTTGTTTTCATGGACCTAACAGATTCAATATTGACCTCAAACTTTGTCCCTGGTCATTAACTTTTCTAAGGTTCAATTTCTTCAGGTTTCTGCAAAAATATAACATTAATATTGAATTCAATCTAACTTCCGAGAACAGTCTTTTCTTCAGCCCAAATCTGTTAACTACTACTAGTTCAGAAGGAAACATATGTTCAAAATTGATCCACATTGGAAGCAAAGTACTCCTTTGCTTTGCGATATCTTTACTTTACCTGACTTTGTTACTCAGCAAGATCTCTTTTCAGAAATGCCTCTCCTAAACACATTTTAGTTTTCTTACTGATAATTTGACCCTGGTCTGGGGAAAAAATATCATAAACAAAGAAATCAAACGCTTGATTAAATATGTTTGAGCCATTTTGAATTTTCGAAAGGCAAGGCTACTTTGCTGTGACCAGTAATATATGTAATATGTCGTGATAAAAGCTGAACTGAAATGGGGTTTAACATCATGTTCAACATTATGGCACTTCTATAGCGATGTGCATGCATGTGTGTTTGCGTTTGTGTGGCTGCTTCTACTTGTCCAGGCTAATGCTAGTTTTACAGTCCTAACCCAGTGAGATACCTTGCCGCAGTTTAACAGGAATACCCCACTCAGACACCATATACCGGTACTGACTCTGAACCGACCAGTCCTTGTTTTAGCCCCTCAATGCCAAGTACCAGGCAGGGTAACAACAAGTAAAATCTAAAAATGTCATGGGATTGAACCCCGGACCTTCCGCTCTCCAGACGGACGCTCTACCACTAGGGAACAGAGGTGGTCCTAGTTTTGGAGAAGAGTATTTAATTGCATTGATATTCATAAGACATATGGACCATAGACAGAACCCATAAGGTATCTTAATAATGAGCATGTCAATATATAACAATCATTATAGTTCCAAGAATTTCCTCTAGAAACTTGTAATGCCCTTATCTTGAAGTCAGCATACCGATCCTTTCCTTGTGAGTGTCTCGGGATTGACAATATTGATGTTTGAGGACTCCGTAAAGGCAAGTAGCATATCGCCATGGGGGACGATGTTCACTGCTGTGTTGTCTGTCATTTCCCGGGAAAAATAGGAGAAAAACCTAGAAACAAAACGGACTGAATAAACATACTTCAACACTTGTATTCCTTCAGGGTTCATCTCAGAGTTTTAACTAAGTGCCTATGGCTGGCAAACTGGGGAAATACATTATGTTCGTCCACAGCTTTGAATAGTTGTTAAGTCCATATTTTCTGAAATTCAGAGGTATTTTAATATTGTATCCAAATGTCATAAAGTAAAACTAAACTAGTGAATAAAGACTTGTCTCTTATTTGCTTCTGTGATTCAGAAAAACACAAGTAACATTTGCAATGTTGACCCTCGATCTTCTCCCATACCTCGCAAAGATGCTCTTACAGGGATCTGGGTATGCAGCTGTTGCAAACTGACCAATGACTAGTCGATTAGCCTTCAGGCATTTTCCAAGTGTCTCAGTGTCCAAGAGCTTATTCTGATACTGAACTTTTCCGTCTTTGATGGTGAACTTGTGAAGGACAGCCAGGCCATCAAACAGGTGCTTCACAGTTGTCTCCCCTACCTTGAACATCCCAGACCCATTCCGGTACAGGGTCCCCGTCACCCATTGTGGGATTGTCCCTGGATTGTGAAAGGAGGGAGTGAATAAGAAAATATAGTTTAAGCATTTTTTCCAAGACATGGCATGTACAATGAATCTAATCTGCAATTGCATGACATTGACATTGAGTTGAAACTTGTAGGAACAATTTGAGTTCACAGATAAATAAGTTCAGTGTAGGTATGGAAGTCTTTCCCTTCCACACCGCCATCTACAGTCAAGGTAGTAGTGTTAGTCAATAAGGTATCTCTCAATTCAATTTCATATCCCATCCGGTAAATATGGGAGAATGACAGACGGATCATGATATCACACCTGCATCAGATTCAGAAAAGTCTACAGAAGAATAATGATCTTTGAGCTAAGTGTGAATCGTGGTGTCACGATACATCGAAATATCGATATATTGCTATTGGTAAGCACTTAAAAGTCAATAAATCGATTGTTAAATCAATTTCGATCAATAGTATCGATTTCAGTTAGGAATATCGATAGTTTCGATTGTATTTACCATATCATGTGATTGAGTCACCGAAACACGCTCACGAACGCAGCCGAGTGTGGATTAGAGTTAACTGCCCTTGATGCTTAGCAACCGATCTTTCTTAAGTAAAATGGTAGAGGGTGACAGTCAAGTGGAGTTTGTGACAAACTTGGGTGGAAAATCGAGTGTTTGGAAGTCTCTTGGCTATGTTAAAGAAAATAATAAGCTTGACAAGAAACATGTTGGATGCCGAAAGTCCATCTAAAATGATACACTGAAAACTATCGATATTTATCGCAATAGTTGCTTGCAATATCAATAGTCATCGCAATAGTTTCTTTCAATATCAATAGTTATCGCAATAGTGATTTCCAGACCAATTGTCACCCCTTATTTTACCTGTGATGTTTGTATCCACTGGCTTCTCAAGCTGGTCGCCGGGCTTGTAGGTTAACCATGCTGGCAAGTCGTCGGCCATAGTTTCAAATGAGCATCCACTGAAACAAAGAGTCATCAGAAGTTTGATAAGAATTATATAATTTGTCTCATAACTCACAGACGACAAGGGTGGGCCAGTTGTCTCAGGTGCCACAGATCAGATAGATCTTTAACTGGATGCTAGCAAGACTATAAGGGACTCTAAGATCAGGGATTGAATCTAAGATCTGCGCTGAGAGAGTTGAGTTTAACGCCGCTTTTAACAGTATTCCAGTTATATCCCGGCGTGCCGGCTTAATGTGGAAGGAAAGCCCGAAGTGATGCAGGTCTCAGACGTTTACCACTTCGGTGAAACCTACGAGCACGGGTATGGTGCTGACAAACCTAGAAACATAATCGGGGCTAACCTGGATTCGAACCCACAATGATAGGTTTCTGGAGTGCCCAAGGGACGCAACTCTGCGAATCGCGGCGCCTTAGACGACTGGGCCACCCGTGCCCCCTAATGTGAGAGGAAAGAGCCGCTGATGAATTCCATCAGGCCCTAATATCAGCTCTAACATCTCAAGACCGCCTCCGTGGTCTAGTGGTAGGGCCTCCCCCAGAGAGCGGAAGGTCAGGGGTTTCGATCCCCGGCCGCGTCATACCAAAAGACGTTAAAAGATGCTACTTGGGTTTGTTTGGGGCATTGCTGTGCATGTGTTATTTGTGTTATAATTATAAGTGGTAAATATCAAAGCAGGGGCATAACTAGGCTAATTTTAAGTCAGATCTCCAGATAACTTTTTGAGCAATTGAGTTTTTACTCTAGGGTTTCTATTTTAATTGGGTTATTACATTTTTCATAGGGTAACCAATATTTTTTCACTCATCTATTCATCACTCTATTGGGTTTTTCCCAAATTAGTGAACATTTTAAGATTAAAAAAAATGAAATAATGTTTCAGATGTATATAACTGTTCTAAATATATAGGCTTAGCCCGGAAAGTAAATTAACTCGTAATTGTGTTTCGGAAATTAGCTCCTTTGTACACATGCTGAAAAAGCTTCAATGGGTATTTACCCGTGCTGTTGTTATACATGTGAGTTTTTCATTTAATGCATGCCTTTCTGTACCAAGTTAATTGATCGTAATTGGGTTTTGAATATTTTGGGGGGGGACTTATCTGTAGCTCTGTAAGTGTAAGCAAAACCAATTTTATGAGGGCATGAAGCACCCAAGCAACTCACTGGCATTGTGACCAGGGTTTTCACAGCTATGATAAACCATCTACCACTAAAATCCTAAAGACCATAAAAATTCCGATTTTCCAGTTAGACAATAAATATCATGTTCAACTGTGTTGAGTTTGAATAAAAACTTTTCAGCATAGATGGTAAATTAAGGTTTACTCTTTTTTTCAAAAATGTGTTTTTGTTAGGTGTAAAAACAAATTATGTTTTTTTCTCAGGTGTAGGCAATTGCTTTCCTGCTACAGTGGCAGTTTTGCCCCTGCAAAATCCCTTCGAGCTTTTTTCCAAAACTGAACAGGTGCTCACTCTGGCTGTAATTTGTAAAACTAAACTCACTATACCTCACTCATACACTTATTTATCATATAATCGGTAGGTTTCCTGGCAGGATAAAGCCAACAGATAAAAATGATATCCGTTGGGGTCATATGCAGATAGAGATGCAAATATCAAAGGTCAAGTAGGGACTACTTTTACTGTTTAAAAACAAACATGGCGTCGCCCTCGTCATTCGGCGGTCGAGTCAGAATTAACCATCGGGAATCGGGATAAACTATAGGGATAATTGCTATCATTATCAAAAGAACAGTCTAATATACTGAAAATCTGTGATGTAGCTAAGGCATTTTATGTTTTGGCAACTTTGGAGATATAAATTTCGAAACAATTTTGCGAGCGCACGAGGCCTAGCCAAGCGGGATCAGTAGCCATATCTGTGCTTGTAGACCTCTGCGGCTTGAAACCTTCTCCACAAATTAAAATAGTTGGATTTGGCCGAAATATGTTTGAATTGTTACCTTGTTTCGTCTTGTCGCTGTGTGTACATCTGTCTGCACTTAACGTTATGATAGGACAGGTCGACTGTCAACAACATCTGAGCGTGGCTGTGAAGTCTCAAAGACTAGGGTTAGAGTAGCTTCCCTTTGACAAAGGGCAGTTACTCTAGCGGACAGACTGATGGATTGCCGCAAAAGGCAAATAAAAACAATTGTTGTTTTGCGTATATGTTTCTTCGCCACTGTGTAAGAAACAGATTTCAGTTGGAACTATATTGGCTACTGTCACTGTCCGACTGACACATCACTTACCCTGTGACGTAATAAATATTAATGCGCGCATTCCAGGAAAGCGATTTTGAAGCACTGAATTAAAGAATGACATTATATGATAAAGAGGTTATCACGCTTGTGTGTTTGGGGATGGAAAATATCCTGTATTAGGAATAAACACTATGTATTTAGCTCGCCAAGGCTCGCTAAATACAATGTTTGTTCCTAATGCAGGATATATACCATCCCCAAACACACTCGCGTGATAACCTCTATATATTTTATCATTTCATTTTTTAATTACATCTAGATTTGTATATTTCATTTATTATCTGGAGATAAAATCATAAATACTTCAATACAATGTAAACATTTTCTATTGTGAATAAGAAAACACAAACCAGTACATGGTCTCTAATAGGGCTGGGACGAGTAACTCGGGTACCCGGGTCGAGTGGGTACAGAGTAAGACCCGGGTACCCACAGGACTACCCGGACCCGTGGTTAGTCACGTCATATATTGTTTCATGACAAAAAAATCACAATATAACTACATGGTTACACGACATTTTTAAATCTCTAATGCTCGCATTTCTTCATGGCTATGAACGCGTTCCTTTTGACTTAAATATGTTTGAACAAAGCTAAAACTTCAGTCAACTTCAGTGTATGCATGACCACATCGTTTTATACGTGCATCTAAAAACATTCTGCAAGGGCTACTGTCAAACTATTACAAATCGAACATTTTGTACCTTTCTCTTGACACCAACAGCGAGTACCCGGGTAGGGTCGGGTAATAGGGGTGTATGTACCCGGGTAGTAAATTTGGACTCGTCCCAGCCCTAGTCTCTAACTTAATCAATGTACACGTGTAGCCTACATAGATCTAGCTTTGAAAGAAAGTATCGACAAGTGAACTTTGATCTCTTGCATGCATTAGGCCTAGAGAAAACACTCAACAGATGAACTATTAAGTGCATCTGTCCGAACTGTCAACACAGTGAATAAAAATATAGAAACAATGCATTGACAACCATGTCAGTTTAAGTTCGATAAATCATCAGTGGTATTTACTGTATGTAGTTAACAGTAGGCTCTAGACTAACCGTACGCTTGACAGTCTTCGATGGGTATACTTCAAGCTCCTCACAGCGATAGTCCGTTCGCGGAGCTCTCTATACTACCGAGTGTGTAACGAAAGTGTCACGCGCTGGGAAGGAGCTTGGTGGTTACTTCAAGCTCATCACAGCGATAATGTTACCGAGAGTGTAACGAAGGTGTCACGCGCTGGGAAGGAGCTTGTGGTTACTTCAAGCTCCTTCCCAGCGCGTGACACCTTCGTTACACTCTCGGTAACATCGCTGCCACCAGTGTGGGCGCGGCCATTACAAGAATCTTGAAATTTGCCCTCTAACCCCAAATGTAGTAACGTTTATACTTTTGTTTATGTCTTTGGGAATGCCATCATATTTCTTTTTTTAAAAGGTTTACGACTGACCATGTTTTCCAGATGAATTTACTTTGTTGTTTTGATAATCAGATTGGCTCGAGATTGCAGACTAACGGAAAACCAACCAACTTCTCCCTTACATTCTTACTATATCAATAACACGATAGTTTTAATGAAACAGAAATTCAAATTGACAAACGAAGAAAGTAATTTAGCAGCTATAAGTGTATTCGGCGTCACGACAGTCGTCACTTGTTTGTAAACAAAACGGTCATTCGGTTGCGAGTTCAACTCCAAGCATGGTTGTGGCCACCTATTCACAGTGGGGAGTTTTGACTGGTGGCAGCGATAGTATAGAGAGCTCCGGGAACGGACTATCGCTGTGAGGAGCTTGTGGTTACTTAACTGAAGGGAAGTAACTCTAATGTGTCTTTAAACCCCATTCGTCACCACTCGCTTCTTTCCGTAAACTACACGGTTTGTCACGGAAAGACCGGAGTTGATCACGAGCCTGAAAATACTTGAAGTGCGAAGCGCTCATAATATATTCAAAAACGCTAAAAAAACCCATCGCGTACCACCTTATAAAGCTTCTGTTAGGGCTGGGGCGGGTAACTCGGGTACTCGGGTCGGGTGGGTACTGAGCAGGACCCGGATACCCACAGGACTACCAGGACCCGTGGTTAGTCACGTGATTATATTGTTTAATGGCAGAAATTATCTAGAACACTATGGTTACACTATAAATGACAAATGTTCACATTTCTTTCCGACTATGCACACATTCCTTCTGACTTCATATGTTTGCATAAAGATAAAATTCAGTCAACTTCAGTGTATGCATGACCTGTATCTAAATACATTTTGACAGGAGTACGGTCTAACGTTTCCTAATCGGACATTTTGTACCTATCTCTTGATACTTACAGCGGGTACCTGGGTAGGGTCGGGTAATAGGGGGATGAGTACCCGGGTAGTAAATTTGGACTCGTCCCAGCCCTAACTTATGTCTGTACGTGTATTATCGGGTTTTGTTTGACATATGTTGATTACACACCAAACTGTTATTTTCTGATGGTAATTTTACTACATCTATCGATACTATCGATATTTTAGCACAGTTTCGGTTTCATTGTAAATATTGATATTTGAGCTTGTCCTCGATATGTGATCGTATATATATTGCCAGGAAGTAATTTGTAAAAACATAAAAAGTGACAGTTGAAAAAGCTCTTGAAAATCCGGGTTATACCTGGACTTCAGGCCAGCCACCCATGCTTGTCGTCAGAGGCGACTATAACGAGATTGGGTGGTCAGGCTCGCTGACTTGATTGATGCATGTCAGCTTATTCCAATTGCGTATACTTATGCTCATGATATCAACCACTGGAGTGCCGTCATGTAGTTGAAATATTGCTGAGTGTGGGGTTAAACACCACCACCACCACCACCACCAACAACGACAACAACAACAACAACAACAACAACAACAACAACTGTGCACACTGATCTGACCGAAGAGTTCTTAATTGGATCCTATGCAGAGACAAATTTATTGGTATGCCGGATGCCTTGAGAGGCTTTGCGCCGGGATATTATTGGGTGTGTTGGATGGTTGCACCCCGAATTGTTAATATTCTTTGTTGTATAGAGAATAGATAGTACGTTCAATCGTTATATCCGGAAGTCAACAGAGGTGAGGTGAGGTGAAATGGGGTTTAATGTCGCGTTCAAGATTATTTCACTCATATAGCGACGTGCATGCACGTGAGTGTGGCTGCTTGTACTAGTCAGGTCTCATGCCTGTTTTAAAGTGCTAATCCACTGAGATACCATGCCGCAGTTTAACATTAATACCCCACTCAGACACATGATACTGACTGAGCCGACCAGTCCTTGTTTGAGCCCCTTAATGCCGAGCGCCAGGCAGGGTAACAACAAGTACCATCTTTTAACGTATTTTGGAATGACGCGGCTTGGGTCGAACGCCCGATCTTTCGCACTCAGATTTTATAGCGCATCCCATGGTATACCTCTACCATATAAGCTAGGAGTCCTGCTAGAGACGAGTTGGTCGACCATCTCCTGAAACTACCGAGAAACTTAGAAAAAGAGCTTTATTGAGTTAGCACCTCTTGAGTCAAAAACATCCACCTCTGAGGGATGTTACAGGTTTTTCAAATTAAGATAAACCTTTTTCTCAAACAAGTGTTAATGAATCTCGGTGAAAAAGGTTATATAAGGTAACATCACTGTTCAGTTGTGCTGTGACAATCGATACATGAGAATGTATGATTTGGCTATGCTTACCTAGCTTTGACAAGTTTATTTGCTTGTAAGCAAGTTCTATCAAACGACTTTTAGAGAATTCTACTGTCGACTTGTCACATCGACCTATTAATAGTCTTAGGGGGCACGGGTTGCCCAGTCGTCTAAGGCGCCGCGATTCGCTGTGCAGAGTTGCGTCCCTTGGGCACGCCAGAAACCTATGATTGTGGGTTTGAATCCGGGTTCGCCCCGATTATGTTTCTAGGTTTGTCAGCACCATACCCGTGCTCGTGGGTTTCACCGAAGTGGTAAACGTCTGAGACCTGCACTTTCATAGCGACGTGCATGCACGTGTGTGTGCTTGCGTGTGCGTGCTTGCGTGTGTGTGCGCGCCCGGACTAAAGCCGCAGTTTTACATGAATACCCCACTCAGACACAGTATACTGACTCCGAGCCGACCAGTCTTTGTTATAACCCATTAATGCCTAGCGCCAGGAAGGGTAACGACAAGTACCATCTTTTAATGTCTCTTGCTATGACGCGGCCGGGGATCATACTCGTCATACAATATATTTTTTAATGTTACACCAAGTATTGACTGCGTCATGGGACAAGCACTTCAACATTACTTTTGTACATGATCATAATCACCACAATTAACCATGATCCAGTAGTAACGTTTTGCTTGTATCTAGGCTTCACATCTGAATCGCCTGTTTGCACCAATCTTATTAAATCAGATTTTATAGTTCGCGCTACCTGTAAACAAAGATCTGAGGACATTCCATTACGGGTCACGTCAGACACGACCTTTCATTCGACCAATCAGAGCGTCGCTTACCAGATCGGGAAAGTAACAATCGGAATGTGTTTTCTTATCATGCAACCTCGAAAAAATCAACACAGAGTATGCCGAACGACAGCTACGGGCTGTGCGGCTGTCTCTCGCTTCAATGGGATACTTTTTTGAAACGGAAGAGACTTTTCATCGCCCGTGTGGGGTACCGCCTTACAATATAAACCATCTATCTAACATTCCAGATATGGTTGTGTTCACCTTTCAAATTTTGAATCAATATTTCAAAGCACTGCCCGTAATGGGATGTCTTTAGATCTTTGTTCAGCTGTAGTGGTAGAGCGTCCGCCCGGAGAGCGGTAGGTCCAGGGTTCGATCCCGGGCCGCGTCATACAAAAAGACGTTAAAAGATTGTACTTGTTGTTACCCTGTCTGGCGCTCGGCATTAAGGGGCTAAAACAAGGACTGGTCGGCTCGGAGTCAGTATACTGTGTCTGAGTGGGGTATTCATGTTAAACTGCGGCATGGTATCTCAGTGAGCTAGCACTATAAATCGGCATCAGTCCGGACTAGTACAAGCAGCCACACACACACATACACGTGCATGCACGTCGCTATATAAGTGCAATAATCTTGGACGCGACGTTAAACCCAATTTCACCTCACCTCACCTTGTTCAGCTGTAGTGAGAAGTAGCGTCATACAATATCATCCATGTATTTTGACATTCCAGAATTTGTTTTGTTCAGTTTTCAAATTTTGGATCTTTGTTCAGCTGTAACGAGAACTAAGATCTGATTTGAATGAGATTGTGGTTTGCACATCAGTATCAGTATGGTGAGCTGTGTCAATGTTTGGAAATGTGTCGATCATCCAGGCACTGCGTCGGACTTCACGGTTTTTGAATGGAAAAAGGAAGACAGTTTTGACAGAATTTCTTTTCGGCATCTTCATAATGCGCTACAATATTCAGTAAACTACGGTTATAACGAACTCAAAGGGACCACTAATTTTAGTTCGTTAAAATCATAGTTCGTTATAAGCATATACATGTATAAGCATATATACAGCAACTGGACGGGATCAAAACACATTTCGTTTTTTCCCGCCAGTTCGTTATAAGCTTGTTCGTTATAAACAAACAATAATGTTCGCATTAAACAAAAAAATACCACCTAATTGTAACACTGCAATGAGTATGAGAATAGGTTAGACCTTGCAAAATAATACCACCTCATTTTATATGCAATAAGTATGATAAGAGGTTAGACCTTGCAAAATAATACCACCTCATTTTAACACTGTTATAAGTATGATAAGAGGTTAGGCGATGCAAAATAATACCAACTAATTGTAACACCGCAATAAGTATGATTAGAGGTTAGGCGATGCAAAATAATACCACCTCATTGTAACACTGCAATAAGTATGATAAGAGGTTAGACCTTGCAAAATAATACCACCTCATTGTAACACTGCAAAAAGTATGATAAGAGGTTAGACTTTGCAAAATAATACCACCTCATTGTAACACCGCAATAAGTATGATAAGAGGTTAGGCGATGCAAAATAATACCACCTCATTGTAACAATGCAATGAGTATGATAAGAGGTTACGCGATGCAAAATAATACTAGCTCATTGTTACACAGAAATACGTATGATAAGAGGTTGGTCATGCAAAATAATGTAATAAAAAGCAAATATAACAAAAGTTAATACACATCAAGAAAAACCAACAAAGTAATGCTTACATAATATCTTTTTAAGTTGGACAAGCGGGACGTATTCCCACAACTTATTGTGAAGTAAAGCTAAGAAATTACTGCCAACTGTGGCTGTCAATGCCATAGTGATATCTTTGGTTCAAGTTTCCCTCAGGGTATGAACGACCCGTGGAATGTGATCGGCATCTTGACACCAGGGGGCGTCTCTGCTCTCGCCAGTTCCTTGAATGTCTTCCCATCAAGCACCAGGAGGAAGCCCTTGCGACCGGGTTTCGTCGGGAATACAGGGGACAGAATTACACCTGGAACATACAGAAAGATTCAGTATTGATTTGACATTTAGTGAAAAGACTGAAGGAGGAGAGACCAGGGTACAGATTGATATGTCTGCATTTGTCATTTGACTCAACAACAACAACAACAACAACAACAACAACAACATCATCATCATCATCAATAATAATAATCATATTATTATTAATAATAATAATAATAATAATAATAATAATAATAATAATAATAATAATAATAATAATAATAATAAAAATTAAAATAATAATAATGATAATAAAAAAATTGATGATATACTCGATTATGTATGATTTTGTTGACTGGCCGATCAATCCTTTTCTAATGATTCTTAGATATTGTGTTGATTGCCCTCTAAAATGTGCAGACAAAATACTGAGCTGCAAAACCAAGAAGGCAAGTTTGAAGAATATGGCGCATACAGTTATGTATTTAAATAACAGTTCAGACACCCTGCACCCTCGTGGGTCGATCAGTGACACAACAATCACTTTGTGAAACGGCCATCAGTTCCAGAGAAGTCAGTTACCTGATTTTGATCATAATCCTCCATCAAATTCACGGGTACGATGACACACTATACAGCCAGCCAGCCACTAGTTGCAGCAGTCGACCAAAAACACTTATGAGTCTTACAACAATCAAATTGCTTCTATCACTTAACAAGAGGGACGTGGTCTGGGTCAGTCAACCGAAGCAGAGGATAGCTGAAATCCTTCATTCACTCTGAGGAGTATGATGATACACAAAGCCAGCCAGTTGACAATTCAGAGAATAATATCCACTCGGCAATCCATAAGATACTTACTCTGCCCTGTATCTAGGCGTTACCAAGATGCCACACAACATGATGGCCACATACCATCGTCCTCCTCTGTTCCCCCGGCAGTCCTCACAAGATACTTACTCTGCCCTGTATGTTTACATGATTCTACACAACATGACGGCCACATACCATCGTCCTCCTCTGTTCCCCCCCGGCAGTCCTCACAAGATACTTACTCTGTCCTGTATGTTTACATGATTCTACACAACATGACGGCCACATACCATCGTCCTCCCCCCTTCCCCCGGCAGTCCTCACAAGATACTTACTCTGTCCTGTATGTTTACATGATTCTACACAACATGACGGCCACATACCATCGTCCTCCTCCCTTCCCCCAGCAGTCCTCACAAGATACTTATTGCCCTGTATGTTTACATGATTCTACACAACATGACGGCCACATACCATCGTCCTCCTCCGTTCCCCCTGGCCTGGCTATGAAGACCGGTTCCCCAGGCTGATCTCCATCTTCTGTCCTCCAGTGGACACAGGTCCTCGTCTTCATGTCAACCTTTGTCAGCTGAAACCATACAATTTTTGTTTGATTGCTGTCTAGTCCGCATTCAGGATTATGGACCAGACAATCCGGTGACAAATATGAGCAATGATTCACATTATGGGGGTACGATGACAAGCAAAGTCACTGTGTCTGATCATCCTATAGGTCGTCTCTTACGACAAGCTGGTTGCCGGGGACCTATTGTAGCCTGGAATCCCCATGGGCCAAACCAGACAGAATAAAGGGATTTGAGAAAACCAAAATTGTGCACACCAGGTAAAATTGTATCTGAATATGCGCAACAGTCTGAAAGTATCACTTAAGTTAATCTATTTTGTTTTCTAGTGATTATCAAACTAAGTCATTGCCTAGATTCCATACCACTGATGAAATGACTAGTTGAATTCTAAAATGCCATGTTACCATCATGGATCCAAATTCACAAGCTTAGACCCTGATTTCAAATATTCCTCATTGACTGGTAGTATTTGAGGGTGATGATTCTGAACCAGTTCTCAATGCTTCAATATAGGTACAAATTGGAACTGAATAAAACTGACTGAAAATGTAAACATGGTACAAAAATTCGCTTATTCAAAAGCAGGACTATCTACAATAAGCAGGAATATCTGAAATAAGGATGACACTTGTCCTCTGGACTAGTTTTGAAATATATCATTTCTAAGGCTGTTCTACTATTTTATGATTTATGGTACAAAGTGAGCCACCCATGGTATGTCTGTCATCATTCCTGATCCATAGGAATATCTGTATTTCTTTGTGTTGTAGGCGTAGTTGATTTTGGGTAGGTCCATTCTTACACCATTGGCTGCATCTGGAAATAACCCCAATGAAAATACAATGAAGCATATTGTGTGTTGTATAGCAGAGTCTGATATCATGGTGTACTGCTGAATCGTTAAATCCTTTGCCCAGTGGATAGTCTGGCATTATAGCCATATTTGCATACCCATCAATATTTCTTGAATGTGCCTCAGAAACTGACAATGATATAACCATGTCAACCAACCCTGACCGCTGACCTTGATCTTTGACCTTATGACATGCAGAAAACAATTCCCCATGACCATTTGGAAGAAGTCGATGGAAAGGATTTACATGTAAACAGATAAGGAGCTCCATCACCACTTAATCCTGAATGCACTGTGCAACTTTCCCATCCAAAACATCTATCATGACGAGGCGAGCAAATCAGGAGACGAGGAAAACATATGTCCAATTCAGTACAACTTCGAAACAGAAAAGCCTTTGCCATTAGCAACCTTAATAACAAAGTTATTAGCACTTCTGGTTTAATAACACCATTTGCTGTTTGGGAAAGCAAATTCAATAAAACGTTGGAACAGAAAAAGCCTCTGGCTCTAGCTACGTTTATAACAAAGTCTTCTCTCTTTCGGTTTAAAACCATCACTTTTAGGTTAAAAGAAACATGTCTAATACAGTACAACTTTGAAACTGAAACAGCATACGCCTCTAGCTACCTAAGAGTGAGTGAGTGAGTTGGGTTTAACGCGGCTTTTAATAGTATTACAGTTATATCGCGGCGTGTCAGCTTAATGTGGGAGGAAAGACCGAAGTGATGCAGGTCTCAGACGTTTACCACTTCGGTGAAACACCACGAGCACGGGTATGGTGCTGACAAACCTAGAAACATAATCTGGGCGTACCGGGATTCGAACCCACAATCATAGGGACAGCGAATCGCGGCGCCTTAGAGGACTGGGCCGCCCGTGCCCCCAGCTACCTTAAGAACAAAGTAATAAGCTCCTTTGGCTTTATGACCCTCACCTCCAATCTCAGTCTGCCTAGATATCATGTAATGAAATGTATATACAGTGCCGTCCAATCTCAGTCTGCCTTGATATCATGTAATGAAATGTATATGCAGTGCCGTCCAATCTCAGTCTGCCTTGATATCATGTAATGAAATGTATATACAGTGCCGTCCAATCTCAGTCTGCCTTGATATCATGTAATGAAATGTATATACAGTGCCGTCAAATTCCAATTATAAACACTCAAGATATTGAGTACATAAGCTTTCTGGGGATGTCCACTCCAAGCCACGTCATCTTGATCTTCAACGTCATCCAGTCACGGAAGAAAAACATTATTTGTTGCAAACCTAGGTGGTGTTACAAATATGAAGTCTCCATATCACACAACCAATACTTCCTGAATAAAACTATAAAAGTCTAATCATGAGTGAATGACCTTTATAGCGACCTTGATAGTTTACACAATCATGGCAAATGATCGGTGAGTGGAGTTAGTTAGTTGATCTTAACTGATTGCAAACATATTTTTTATTAGTTTTTTATGAATTAACCTGCAATTTCATGAAATATGAACCTCTAATGACCTTGACCTTACAATGAGGGCACCCAGAAGTTGAAGCAATAGAGACACGGCTTTAGAGACCATGTACACTTAGCTTAATACAGAGTGACCTTAACCTTCAATGTGATCCAATCTCATGTTAAAAGAATTCCCCAGTATAAAGGAGTAGATAGGAGGCACATTAGGTATGAAGTCTCAGACATATGTCATGAGTGCCATAAAACCCAACAACCAACAAATGCTTCATCTAATTGCTCAAACCAACAAATGCCACACCTACCTCCGGTGATGTAGTCAGGGGTACAGAAGATGGAGCCGTCCGGCTGTTTGACCGCTGTAGCCGACGTGTCTGGTAGTGTCACCAGGTTCTTGCCAGTCCCGGCCTGTTTGGATCAAAAAGCAATATCACTCAGAATTAGAATCCCTTTTGATGCAGGTGCATGATGTGTCTCTAACACCGTCTGGCAAATGAGTATTTTATATCAATTCACTATCAACATCTCTCATATCAGACTTTCCAATAATTTCCGTATTAATTTGTAAAACATAAACCACTAATGTATTGACGAAAATCTGAATAGCTGAACATACCTGACTACCTAATAGCTGACTTACCTTTTGGGCATCAAGAGGAAGCACATAGCGTCTTAATTTGGCATGAAACTGTCCGTAGACTCCTTCCTTGAGATTCTTAAGATAAAGGTCATGCACCACACGCCCATCATCAAAGGCACATACATCAATGACAAGATGGCCGTCCTCTTCATAGCAGTTGATGAAGTGGAAACAGAAGAAGGCATGTGTACTGCGTCGTTAGTGTCTTTCCGTCTGAGCGCCGAGCAAGATGGATGAGAACCTGTGGTTGAAACGGATGTATTAATTCAGAATTAAAAAAATACAAAAGACTCTCGTTAAATGCCAATTCAAGGAACCGAGTCAATATTCTATAATATACCATCGCATTTTGAGTGATTTGACCTATTCATTGTTCAGTAAGCCTCAAATGTCTGCTACTTTACACGATTTGAATTGACAAACTTAACGTCAAATGAGACTCGAGCGAGTGCTTCATAAAAGTACTTTACCCAGATAAAAGCAGAGGCTAAATTGAGGTGTCATTAAATCCTGCTTCAAATTTAGAGGCTGCAAAAATTCTGATAAGCACACAGCCTGACAGTCTCTCTACATCAGGATGATTTAGAACTCAAAGTTTGCACAAGTTTCAGTAAGAACAATGATACAACGAGCAATCGAGCAGTTGTCTAACCTTTTCATCAGGGTAGATGTCCATACAATTCTCAAATCCAGTTCTGGTTAAAAGCAAGAGAGGCAGCTTCAAGACGTTGGCAACCAGAGTCTGTTCCAGGACAACAAAGTAGTTCTCCGACATCCCAAAGCTGTGGTTGTAGCCGATGTTCATCTTCCAGCGAGAGGGAAAGGTCGACACCAGGGATGCACGGTTGAAGGGGTTGTCTCCCGCTGGAATGAGAGACTAGGTGAGTAAACACAATTTGTATGTTAACATGCTTTTCAAAATAATAGTCACGTTTCTTAAGTTAACCAATTGAAGATGACATTTCTCTTTTGCAAATCAAATCAATCAAATTATTATATTCACTTTTTTATTTCACAATAATTAGCACTGCTGTTTACGGGCTGCAGCTTTTAGCGCTAAATGGGTCGGGCAGCCGCCTTTGGCACCTGCTTCCCTGATCTCACGTGCCTCTTCGATCCTCTCTTCGAACGCCCCTTTAGGATCTTTATAGTGCCCCTTTCTGATCAAAAACCCCTTTGCGATCATTATGGTGCCCCTTCCTGATCAAACACCCCTTTACGATCCTTAGGGTACCCCTTTCTGATCAAAAACCCCTTTGCGATCCTTAGGTTACCCCTTTCTGATCAAAAACCCCTTTGCGATCATTATGATGCCCCTTCCTGATCAAACACCCCTTTAAGATCCTAAGGGTACCCCTTTCTGATCAAACACCCCTTTGCGGTCATTATGGTACCCTTTCTGATCAAACACCCCTTTAAGATCCTTAGGGTACCCCTTTCTGATCAAACACCCCTTTAAGATCCTAAGGGTACCCCTTTCTGATCAAACACCCCTTTGCGGTCATTATGGTACTCTTTCTGATCACACACCCCTTTAAGATCCTTAGGGTACCCCTTTCTGATCAAACACCTATTTACGATCCTCAGGCTACCCCTTTCTGATCAAACACCCCTTTAAGATCCTTAGGGTACCTCTTTCTGATCAAGCACCCTTTTACGATCCTTAGGGTACCCCTTTCTGATCAAACACCACTTTACGATCCTCAGGGTACACCTTTCTGATCATGCACCCCTTAACGATCCTCAGGCTACCCCTTTCTGATCAAACACCCCTTTAAGATCCTAAGGGTACCCCTTTCTGATCAAACACCCCTTTGCGGTCATTATGGTACCCTTTCTGATCAAACACCCCTTTAAGATCCTTAGGGTACCCCTTTCTGATCAAACACCTATTTAAGATCCTCAGGCTACCCCTTTCTGATCAAACACCCCTTTAAGATCCTTAGGGTACCCCTTTCTGATCAAGCACCCTTTTACGATCCTTAGGGTACCCCTTTCTGATCATGCACCCCTTAACGATCCTCAGGCTACCCCTTTCTGATCAAACACCCCTTTAAGATCCTAAGGGTACCCCTTTCTGATCAAACACCCCTTTGCGGTCATTATGGTACTCTTTCTGATCACACACCCCTTTAAGATCCTTAGGGTACCCCTTTCTGATCAAACACCTATTTACGATCCTCAGGCTACCCCTTTCTGATCAAACACCCCTTTAAGATCCTTAGGGTACCTCTTTCTGATCAAGCACCCTTTTACGATCCTTAGGGTACCCCTTTCTGATCAAACACCACTTTACGATCCTCAGGGTACACCTTTCTGATCATGCACCCCTTAACGATCCTCAGGCTACCCCTTTCTGATCAAACACCCCTTTAAGATCCTAAGGGTACCCCTTTCTGATCAAACACCCCTTTGCGGTCATTATGGTACCCTTTCTGATCAAACACCCCTTTAAGATCCTTAGGGTACCCCTTTCTGATCAAACACCTATTTACGATCCTCAGGCTACCCCTTTCTGATCAAACACCCCTTTAAGATCCTTAGGGTACCCCTTTCTGATCAAGCACCCTTTTACGATCCTTAGGGTACCCCTTTCTGATCAAACACCCCTTAACGATCCTCAGGCTACCCCTTTCTGATCAAACACCCCTTTAAGATCATAAGTGCACCCAATTCTGATCAAACACCCCTTTGCGGTCATTATGGTACCCTTTCTGATCAAACACCCCTTTAAGATCCTTAGGGTACCCCTTTCTGATCAAACACCTATTTACGATCCTCAGGCTACCCCTTTCTGATCAAACACCCCTTTAAGATCCTTAGGGTACCCCTTTCTGATCAAGCACCCTTTTACGATCCTTAGGGTACCCCTTTTTGATCAAACACCACTTTACGATCCTCAGGGTACACCTTTCTGATCATGCACCCCTTAACGATCCTCAGGCTACACCTTTCTGATCAAACACCCCTTTAAGATCCTTTGGGTACCCTTTTCTGATCAAACACCACTTTACGATCCTCAGGGTACCCCTTTCTGATCAAACACCCCTTAACGATCCTCAGGCAACCCCTTTCTGATCAAACACCCCTTTAAGATCCTTAGGGTACCCTTTTCTGATCAAACACCCCTTTACGATCCTTAGGGTACTCCTTTCTGATCAAACACCCCTTGACGATCCTCAGGCTACTCCTTTCTGATAAAACACCACTTTAAGATCCTTAGGGTACCCCTTTCTGATCAAGCACCCTTTTACGATCCTTAGGGTACCCCTTTCTGATCAAACACCCCTTTACGATCCTTAGGGTACCCCTTTCTGACCAAACACCCCTTTACGATCCTTAGGGTACCCCTTTCTGATCAAACAAGCGTTTAGATCCTTAGGGTACCCCTTTCTGATCAAACACCCGTTTAGATCCTTAGGGTACACCATTCTGATCAAACACTAGTTTAGATCCTTAGGGTAACCCTTTCTGACCAAACACCCCTTTACGATCCTTAGGGTACCCCTTTCTGATCAAACAAGCGTTTAGATCCTTAGGGTGCCCCATTCTGATCAAACACCTCTTTACGATCCTTAGGGTACCCCATTCTGATCAAACACCCCTTTACAATCCTTAGGGTACCCCTTTCTGATCAAACACCCCTTTAAGATCCTTAGGGTACCCTTTCTGATCAAACACCCCTTTTACGATCCTTAGGGTACCCCTTTCTGATCAAACACCCCTTTACGATCCTTAGGGTACCCCTTTCTGATCAAACACCCCTTTACAATCCTTAGGGTACCCTTTTCTCATCAAACACCCCTTTACAATCCTTAGGGTAACCCTTTCTGATCAAACACCCCTTTAAGATCCTTAGGGTACCCTTTTCTGATCAAACACCCCTTTACGATCCTTAGGGTACCCCTTTATGATCAAACACCCCTTTAAGATCCCTAGGGTACCCTTTTCTGATCAAACACCCCTTTACGATCCTTAGGGTACCCCTTTCTGATCAAACACCCCTTTAAGATCCTTAGGGTACCCTTTTCTGATCAAACACCCCTTTACGATCCTTAGGGTACCCCTTTCTGATCAAACACCCCTTTAAGATCCTTAGGGTACCCTTTTCTGATCAAACACCCCTTTACGATCCTTAGGGTACCCCTTTCTGATCAAACACCCCTTTAAGATCCTTAGGGTACCCTTTTCTGATCAAACACTCTTTACGATCCTTAGGGTACCCCTTTTCTGATCAAACACCCCTTGACGATCCTCAGGCTACTCCTTTCTGATAAAACATCCCTTTAAGATCCTTAGGGTACCCCTTTCTGATCAAGCACCCTTTTACGATCCTTAGGGTACCCCTTTCTGATCAAACACCACTTTACGATCCTCAGGGTACACCTTTCTGATCATGCACCCCTTAACGATCCTCAGGCTACCCCTTCTGATCAAACACCCTTTTACGATCCTTAGGGTACCCCTTTCTGATCAAACACCCGTTTAGATCCTTAGGGTACCCCATTCTGATCAAACACCTCTTTACGATCCTTAGGGTTGGGCATCACTTGACAATACAGCACCCCTTTTCGAACCTTAGGGTTAGTTGTTTGTTAGGGTATGAGTTATCTATCTCTTTCAACGACTTACGTCTTTATTTCGAGGAAAGTCTGTAAATTTTTATCGAGTTTCGAGTTTCGCAGTTTCAGAAGAGAGATCACTTGATAAACGAACACTAATTATTTGGAATAGCACCCGTGTTCCCGTCAGTGAAATGTTGGATAATTTCATTAACTCATTAGCATAGCTTAGGATCAACCTGGCATGAAAGATCGACCCTTCACTCATTGCTTACTGAAATCCTTAAAATAACTCCCCTTATAAATTATTCTGGCATCTTGACACTTATGACATTAAATTGATGCAATAAGAAAAGAAAAGTATTCATTGTTGAAGTACGCAAATTACGATAGTCATAGAGGTTGCTTTGTGAAAGAGACAAGACTAAAATGACAATCTGAAAACTGATCATCAGGGAAACAGTCATTCAGTAAGTTTCTACCTATTCATCATTCAAGTATTCCATAGAGATGGTAAAACATCACTCATGATCACAAGGAAACCCAAGGTCAGTCAGTTTGTTTGTACCTTTTTCTTGTGGTGGTATTTTGATGATGTTGTAAGCTTGTTTGTGGTTGAATGAAGTGCCCAGGTTGTACATGGTGCCGTCAGAGTCTGTGTGAGGGTGAGCCGTGGCGACATGAAGTGCAACCAGGTTTAGCTTGTCTAGCGGAATCTAGAAAGGTGAAACATACGGATGCGATACAACGGAAGAAGAGTAGAGAAGGGGGTGCTGAACATGATGGATGTGCTGAAAAAATATATTGTAGCAAATATAGTTCCGCTTTGTACATGAAATGTCTGTTTGGACAAACGTTTGATCTTTTTCAGTCTGGCAGCTAAACTAATGTGTCAAACCATTTGCATATACATACCGATCCTTTCTTTGTGAGTGTCTCAGGATCAACAATATTGCAGATTGGTGTCTCTGTCAAGGCCAGAAGCATGTCGCCATGGGGGACGATGTTCACTGCTGTGTTGTCTGTCATTTCCGGGATAAAATAGGACAAAAACCTTAAAATAAAAAAATGAAAGCACCGTAGGTATTGTGTTCAGTGCATCACATGCCACCTTGGTCATCAATAGTGTATGGAGGCAAAGCTAGACTATGTCATCAACCATCGCAATTCACGCTAGTCCGCTAGCCCGAGACTACTAAATTGTGCTGAGAATAGGTCGAAATCCAATGACTGAAGTCCTTATTGACTAGTATCCTTTGAAGGCAATAATTCTATAGCTGTTCTTCATGCTACAATTCATCTACAAAATGGAACTGGATAAAACTGGCAGAAACTGTAAACCGTAAACATTTTGTCTCGTTCAAGAAGGACTAGTTGCAAACTCTGAGGACATTTGAAATAATGTTTACACCAGTCCTTTGGACTAGGTTTGAAACATAATTTCTCAGGCTGTATCATGCATCCAAAAGACACCCATGTGTCACTCTGTCTTCCCACACTATCAGGAATTGGACATTTCTTAAAGCACGTGGTCCCTCATGTCCCTCATGTCTCTCCAAGATCATAAGACGACAGTTACCACCAATAGCAGGCGAGAGCTGATGGAAGATCTGACATGGGCGGTCGTCCTGCGATGACCAAATATGTGGCCAGGGATACCTATAACATCAGACTATTTCTCCTTGCCCTGGGATACCTATTACATCAGACTATTTCTCATTGCCCTGGGATACCTATTACACCAGACTATTTCTCATTGCCCTGAGATACCTATTACATCAGACTATTTCTCCTTGCCCTGGGATACCTATTACATCAGACTATTTCTCATTGCCCTGGGATACCTATTACATCAGACTATTTCTCATTGCCCTGAGATACCTATTACATCAGGCAGATTCTCCTTGCCCTGGGATACCTATTACATCAGACTATTTCTCCTTGCCCTGGGATACCTATTACATCAGACTATTTCTCCTTGCCCTGGGATACCTATTACATCAGACAAATTCTCCTAGCCCTGGGATACCTACAACATCAGGCAAGTTCTCCTTGCCCTGGGATACCTATTACATCAGACAAACTCTCCTAGCCCTGGGATACCTACAGCATCAGAGAAATTCTCCTAGCCCTGGGATATCTATAACATCAGACACATTCTCCCAGCCCTGGGATTCCAATAACAATGACATTAGCATGCTACTGTATGGACAGCAAATAAGCAATCAATGCGCGTGTAGGTTTGGTGCTGCAAAACATGCATTTCAGTTAGATCAGGCATGTAAGGGCAGAAATGATCAGCCTGTGTTTACCACTCAAGCAAGGGCACAGTGTTGACACTGTTAGCAGATCAAGCATAATGAAGGGACCATAGGTACAGCCTCCGCTGTCAGCGAGCGGAGTGGTGCGGATAGTCGCCCTCGCTGTTTGGGTCTTATGGGATCAGATATTGTAATATTTCTTTCGGAATTAAATAGATTGCTCTGAGAGCACAACATCCCCCGCATGAATTTTTTTAACGAGTCAAATGAAGCTCCGTAAAACAGGGGCAGTAACTCTGTCAAAATTAGTCGAAATGAAACGGGACTGCGATATGCGTATCATCAACATGTCGACATCTTGTGTGTAGAGTGTCAGGGATATTCTCTGGAAACTGTAGGAGGAGTTGATTTCACAAGCTTAGTACCCTCTCTCATAATAAGGCAAATGAAGCTCCGTAAAACAGGGGCAGTAACTCTGTCAAAATTAGTCGAAACGAAACGGGACTGCGATATGCGTATCATCAACAAGTCGACATCTTGTGTGCAACGTGTCAGGGATATTCTCTGGAAACTGTAGGAGGAGTTGATTTCACAAGCTTAGTACCCTCTGTGGGACGGACAGACGAACGGACGGACGGACGGACTGCCCCACGACATAATCCCCCTTCGGCCATTTCTGGCCCGGCGGGGGATAAAAACGTCACCAAGGTAAGTTAAATAACGATCAGATTATACGGATATATTTCGCCATGTTTTTCTTTGCTTGTCGTTGTGCTATAGCACGCACTTCTTGCCTCACATGGTAAGTCTTAGTTTTGCTGGTTGGGGATCTCGTCATTGGTCCTTGATATGGTTGGTGGATGACGGCATGGTGATGGTGGTATCCTAAATACAAGTGCTGTAACATCTACCGATGAAGAATGATATTAAGCTTTTACTGCGCGGGGGGCATTGCTGACATTTGCAATTCCTGGTATCGCATAACGGGTCGAACGTTCTTTCGGTCTTTTTGTTCCACCATTTATAAGGAGCTACAATAAATTATAAACCCATTATATCTCAATGCAAAAGTTATATTATTGTATGAACAAGAAGTAGGGGGGCTCGTAAGGTTGACGATTGGGACGTTGAGGGTGTTTCAAAATGTCGAAATTGCAGATAGTGCTGCTTATAAAGGGTTTCAAAAATATAGGAAAGCAGTATTCCATAAGAGTCAAAGTAGAAAAGAAGGTGTCCTATGCCGAAACTGCTAGAATTGCCAATGCCACCCCTTCACCCTCCAATGCATCCGCTGTGACACGCCATGTTTCTCCACCAGTGAACAAGACACCAGAAGATGTTCAAACAAATGCTCTGAAAACACCCCCTGTTCCAAATGATGTCCCTGGTTGTTCTTGCAACTGCTCTGCAGATGGTTCCATAATAGATAAAGCATGCATGGTCAACTAGTTTAGCGCAAACTGGTACTATTCCTTTGGCTCAAGTAACTCTCATTCTAGGTATTTCCTTGCATGACATTTTGAGGTCACTGCCGGTGGTTTCAAAAAATGTATCCGTTGCAAAAACTTGATGTGTCAAGAGATATGTTGAACAATTTGCATGCTGGTAACAAATGTGGATAAAGCTCTCATTCTCCTTACTATTTTCCACTGGAACGCTCTATGTCTTGTGGCCCGTGGACATCATCTTATTCACATTTTATCAAACATTTCACAACTGCCAGGTGTTTTTTGAGTTTAGGAAACGCCTTTGTGGTTAATGTTTCTTTTTCTGATAGATATTCTGGGGTTTTATTTCATTGAAAGGGCGCCATCATTTTTCAAAACAAATTGTTTGCTTGATGTTTTCATTAAGCAGTGGATCCTGTCCTTTCATCAGAGTAATCGTGTACAATATAATACATTTTACATGGTAAATTGCTTTGGTGCAGTAAATCGACTTGCATTTATTATTGTTAAATATTATTTGATGTTGTTGGGCGCAAATAGACCTTCTTTGGGGTCGCCCTTAAGCTGCAGAACCTTTGGACAACCCTGGGACCCGTAAAGCACAGAGACTACTTAGGATTTCTTCCATATTGTCAAATATTTGATGAACCTGTTAGAAGTAATGCATGAATCACAGAACAGAGTTGGCCTACCCTGTTTAAATTACAGTGTATCCTTCCTCATCAAAATACCTTGCAAAGATACTCTTGCAGGGATCTGGGTATGCAGCTGTAGAAAACTGACCAACGACCAGTCGATTTGCCTTCAGACTTCTTGTAAGGGTGTCCGAGTCCAAGAGTTTGTTCTGATACTGAACTTTTCCGTCTTTGATGATGAACTTGTGGAGGACAGCCATGCCATCAAACACGTGCTTCACAGTTGTCTCCCCTACCTCATACATCCCTGATCCATTCCGATACAGGGTCCCTGTCACCCATTGTGGGATTGTCCCTGGATCGTGAATAGAGTAAATAAGAAGATAGAGTTTTACCCTTTTGTCAAGACATGGGACATACAGCGAATCTAATCTGCCAGCCATACTGCATGATAGGCAGATTAAAGGTTCAACGTTGCATCCGAAAATGATGTACTGGTATTTCAATACTTTCTTTTATTGTTATGTCTGTAAATCTTTAAAATATTCTTTTGGGTTATGTGGTCATTTCATGTGTGACATCTGTAATGGCAAATATCATGGCTTCGTGAGTGAAAAGTAGTCCTACATGGACATTTAGCTACACAACTGTATGAACCATTTGAGTTCATAGATAAATAGCTCAGTTAAGGTCTGGAAGTCTTTCACTGCCCCTTAATGATGACCTTTAACAAGTTGACAGTTACAGTAGCAGCTTAACTCAATTAGGTGTCCCTCAGTTAAGTTGTTTCCCCGTCATGTGTAATCGGCATTAGATTCAGTAAGGGGCTTTTGGGTAGCCTAGTGGTTAAAGCGTGTGCTCGTCACGCCGAAGACCCGCGTTCGATTCCCGACATTAGTATAATGTGTAAAGCCCATTTCTGGTTTCACCCGCCGTGATACTGCTTGAATATTGCTAAAAGCGGCGTAAAGCCATACTCACTCACTCACTCAGATTCAGAAAAGTCTACAAAAGAATGATGTTTGGGTTAGCTGTGAATCTGTATTTCACCAGTGATGTTTGTATCCACTGGCTTCTCAAGCTGGTCGCCGGGCGTGTAGTTTAACCATGCTGGCAAGTCGTCGGCCATAGTTTCAACTGACCATCCACTGAAACAAAGAGTCATCAGAAGTTTGATAAGAATAATATAATTTGTCTCATAACTGACGACATGGGTGGGCCAGTTGTCTCAGGTGCCATACTACACTGTGCAGAGTTATGTCCCTTATGTTTTTCTAGGATCCAAAGATCGGGGGTTTGAATCCAAGATTTGCGTTGAATATGATGTTTAATTTGTTTTTACCATACACTACAACGCAAAAGTCAAATGTCCAAGGAGCCACGGCAAAATATCCGCGGCAATTTTGTTCTTTTTTGCGAATAGAGGATATTTCATGAGTCTAGTGAAATTATCTGTTTCTCTCATCGAGTGATAGGGGGAAAGGAGAAGTTTTCACGAGTGGCGTAGGAGAAAATATCTCCTTTTCCACCAACACGACATGAGAAAAACAGGATATTTCACTCGACACATGAAATATCCTATTCATCATATACTTTTTGAGTTGTTGTCTACCGGAAAATTAATTATTTCATTAGTTCAGTGTTTGCAAAAGCATAAAAAAACTATATAAAAAAGTAACAAAAAATATTTAGGGTCGCATATTCATATCATATAGATATGATTATATACAAAGTCAACTCTAACAAGAAATATTCTTGAAAACTTCGAGACCGCTGTTCGAAGCGAAAGAATACACGCTGGCCAGGTTACAAAAATGGCGCTTTGCGAAACGAACGGTTTCGATTGACGAGTTAAGTGATAAATTTACTGTTTATAACAGAACATTTTCAAGAGAATAACAAACGCCATGGGGCGATATTAACTCCATAAATGACCATCTGTCCTTATTTTGCCTTGTCAGTGTGGAACTAACGTCAAAAGGAAGCCAATAGTTTGTGAACGGGCCAGACAGTTACGATAAAGGGAGACAATTTGAGGGGAGTTGTCAATGGTTCCGTCAAAGTGTTATGTTCACTGCTGTGAAATATTAATTGTTATGTTCAATAGAAATATCACTTTCCTCAATTTCGGAAAACTCAGTCTTTCACACTTAAGTATATAATAAAACAATATTGCTCATCGTTAATGTATATTATGGAGCTGAACGTTATACGTATACACTGTTTCCCTCTAAACATACAGATAGATACATGTCTTCACTTAAAGTCACACGCATGACCTTCTAGAGCGTCAATTTGAGTAACGACATTCCTTATACAACAGTGAGTGAGTCAGTGAGTCAGTAAGTTTAACGCCGCTTTGAACAGTATTACTGTTATATCAGGGCGGGTCAGCTTAAGGTGGAACCCGAAATAGGGTTCTGGAGTGGTCAAGGGACGCAACTCTGCACAGCTGATTGCGGCGCCTCAGAACGTTTCAAAGTACAACGCATGTGATGATATGTGTTCAAGTGTAACAACCAGGACAACAGAATAAACGAGTGCAAGATAAACCCCCTTTTGTCAACCTTACAACAATAGTAGTTCAAGAAAATTTCCTTTGTGGGAGGCAGAAGTGTTCTTTGACATTTAATGAAGAAGAAATCAATATGACAGATGAAAATATGGATGTTTTCAAGCAGGAAAAGGGAGAGAGCAGGCATATTATCTGCATTCACGAGGGTTGAAAGGGCATTAAATGTGTTAATATCAACCAGACATACAGACAGTAATGCTGTAAATGAAGAACTTGACAATTAAAGGTCAAAACTCAAGAGTGGAGGTCATTTGTTTCAGAGAATAGGAGTGAATGTGATGAACTTGAAACATAGTTTTTGAAAGTGAAGGACAGGCTTGAACAGTTATGCTCAGGTACTATGCTTTGGCGTTATGATAAGTCTAAACTACTTGAAGAATTGAACCCAGGGGATTCAGTGAGTGGGGTTACCAGGGTGTCGAAGGCTTCGCTTGCATCCTCAACAGGTAGTAAGGCTAAACTTGTGGCTAAGAAAGCAGCATTGAAATGATTCCGGGGGATTCAGTGAGTGGGGTTACCAGGGTGTGGAAGGCTTCGCTTGCATCCTCAACAGGTAGTAAGGCTAAACTTGTGGCTAAGAAAGCAGCATTGAAATGATTCCAGGGGATTCAGTGAGTGGGGTTACCAGGGTGTGGAAGGCTTCGCTTGCATCCTCAACAGGTAGTAAGGCTAAACTTGTGGCTAAGAAAGCAGCATTGAAATGATTCCAGGGGATTCAGTGAGTGGGGTTACCAGGGTGTCGAAGGCTTCGCTTGGTTACCAGGGTGTCGAAGGCTTCGCTTGCATCCTCAACAGGTAGTAAGGCTAAACGTGTGGCTAAGAAAGCAGCATTGAAATGATTCCAGGGGATTCAGTGAGTCGGGTTACCAGGGTGTCGAAGGCTTCGCTTGCATCCTCAACAGGTAGTAAGGCTAAACTTGTGGCTAAGAAAGCAGCATTGAAATGATTCCAGGGGATTCAGTGAGTGGGGTTACCAGGGTGTCGAAGGCTTCGCTTGGTTACCAGGGTGTCGAAGGCTTCGCTTGCATCCTCAACAGGTAGTAAGGCTAAACGTGTGGCTAAGAAAGCAGCATTGAAATGATTCCAGGGGATTCAGTGAGTCGGGTTACCAGGGCGTCGAAGGCTTTGCTTGCATCCTCAACAGGTGGTAAGGCTAGACTTGTGGCTAAGAAAGCAGCATTGATGGTTAGAGCAGAGGCTTTGAAGAAAAGTCAAGATATAAAATTGAAGCAAATGGAATTAGAGCAGTTGCAGGAGACATTGCAGATTGAAACAGATATTGCAGCTATTATAGCTGAAGAGGAAGTATACAATTTAAGTGAACATGAAAATCCTGTTATCAAATCAGCTGCATCTGGTGGAACAAAACATAGAACTCAGAAAGAGGTCAATATTGTCAAAACTGACAGGGGGAAGCTTGAGCTTAATCCATCAGCTGCAGAGTGGACAGGTGGTGTTTCAGGTGGCCAGAAAATACAGGTCATCTTTAACTGATGATAGAATGAGGTGAGGTGAGGTGAAATTGGGTTTAACGTCGCGTCCAAGATTATTGCACTTATATAGCGACGTGCATGCACGTGTGTGTTTGGCTGCTTGTACTAGTCCGGACTGATGCCGATTTATAGTGCTAGCTCACTGAGATACCATGCCGCAGTTTAACATGAATACCCCACTCAGACACAGTATACTGACTCCGAGCCGACCAGTCCTTGTTTTAGCCCCTTAATGCCGAGCGCCAGACAGGGTAACAACAAGTACCATCTTTTAACGTCTTTTGGTATGACGCGGCCGGGGATCGAACTCCGGACCTTCCGCTCTCCGGGCGGACGCTCTACCACTAGACCACGGAGGCGGTCGATGATAGAATGATCTCCATGCAAGAGCAAATGATTAGCATTTTCCAACATCCCAAGACTGAGATCATGAAATTTGATGGCGATCCACTTAAATACTGGCTATTCATCAGGTCATTCAAAAACAGTATCGGGGACACAGCTGCAGGTAATAGTGCCAAACTCAACCGCCTACTTCAATACTGCATAGGTAAAGCTCTTTCAGTCATCGAATGTTGTGCTGTTATGGATCCAGACGTTGGTTACTTAGAGGCAAGAAAATTACTGTTGGAACGTTTTGGCAACCAGTATGGGTATCCAAGGCTTGGGTTGAAAAGGCCACAGAAGGTCCATGCCTACGATATAATGACAGCAGTCGGTTGAGACAGTATGCTGAATCAGTGTGAAGTTTTGTCGTTATTTTATCTGCCATGAGTAGACTCAATGAAGTGGACAACCCAATCTCATTAAAATCAGATCTTAGTTCTCGCTACCGCTAAACAAAGATCTGAGGACATCCCATCACAGGTCACGTCAGACCGACCTTGCACGAACTTTGACTGACGAACGGAATGACCAATCAGAAGGCAGCTTTCTCGTGCTTTACGGCACTTATTTGAAATTGGCGACTCCGCTTCGCAACATATTTTGACAAATTCTCGATTACAAATTTGAAACCTGAACAAAAAAACATTCCGGAATGGTTAAGAGATGGTCTAGATTGTATGGATTCAGTCGTTAAACACGTAACTATCGTTCGGAATACCCCGTGTTAAAGTTTGCGAGGTTGTATTATTAGAAATCACATTCCGACTGTCACTTTCATGATCTGGTAAGCGACGCTCTGATTGGTCGGATGAAAGGTCGTTCTGACGTGACCCCTAATGGGATGTTTCAGATCTTTGTTTAGCGGTAGCGAGAACTAAGGTCTGATTTTAATGAGATTGGTGGACAACCAGGTCAGAATGAGAAAAATAGTGGATAAGTTACCACCATATCTACAGGGTCGATGGAGAAAGGAGGCAGTACACAGATTGAAGATAACTGGATGTTATCCCAACATATCTAAACTGGCAGAGTTCATTGAGACTGCCGCACCGGAAGCCAATGACCTAGTGTTCGGAACACGTCTCACCACTAGAGACTTCAGTCAGAGGTTGCCCCAGGGCCTGAACAAAAGGGACAATGTGTCAAGTTTCAAGGTACAGGCTCTGAAGGACATAGGTCCAGTGACATACAATAGTCAGACTGTTAGAACATTACCTCCTTGTAAATACTGCACTGGTGACCATGCCATATTTACCTGTGACAAGTACAAACTCCTGACTCCAGAGAGGAGACTAGAAAATAGATTGTGCTTTAACTGCTTACCATGCTTACCATGTCTCCTACAATTGTTCCAAGGGTAGCATGTGTGGTCACAACGGATGCAGTGAAAAACAGTCAAAACTATTGCACTTTGGTACCGAAAGGTGGTGCAAGCCAAATGATGAATGAGTGAGTGAGTTTGGTTTTACGCCAGCAATATTAGCAATATCCCAGCAATATCACGGCGGGGGACACCAGAAATGGGCTTCACACATTGTACCCATGTCGGGAATCGAACCCGGGTTTTCGGCGAGGCGAGCGAGCGCTTTAACCACTAGGCTACCCGACCGCCCCTCAAGCGGACATAAGACACCCAGTATCTTGTATTAGTTTGTAATTTATGTGTTATGTACAAGACCTGTCCTCAGTGCATCCAAGTCATTTCCTACATCTAGTCAAACCCTTTTCACTATCTGTTAGGTCACGTGTGCCACATGCAATTTTATCATATGCCTATGCACCTAATTTTGCAAGATTTCCATATTTTACTCAGGGCGGTATCGCGGATATGCTTCAAAATGCACAATTCTGGACAGAGTTAAGCTGAACCAAACAGAATAGGATAGGAAATATCAGCAACATATCGACGGGATACGTGAAGACGTCCACATTGTAATCATATGGAGGATAAAACCAAATTGTGTCTTCACCCTCAAAATCAGGGGTAGAATTGGTCTTCAGCAACCCATGTTTGTCATAAGAGGCGACTATGCTTGTCGAAAGAGGCGACCAACGGAATCTTCTGACTTCGGGATCTTCGCTGACTTAATTGATGCAAGTCATCGTATCCCATTTGTTTGTGCTTGATGCTCATGATACCAATCACCGGGTTGTCAGGTCCCGACTCGATTTTTTAAAGGTCGCCGAATATTGTTGAGTGCGGCGTTAAACCACAAACAAACAAACAAACCGAAGTTTAGCGCTACAACATATCGCATTATACATTGATAGGATAGGATCGCCCCCACACGTTCTCGAGAACGTGGATGTGGTAATTAATGTCTATACAACACAACTATCTATGTTACCCGTGTATACAGCTTAATAGATATGAACGACCTTGTCCAACATACGATTTAACCTACCAACTGTGATATCAGTATGCAATGTGCAAGGCGTCACGTCACATGGCATAGCTCATATACCATCACGTGACCATGGTATTACGATAACACACAGAGTTTACTTTTTCCTGTTTGACCTTGTTTTGAAATTCTGTTTGGTTCAACTTAACTCTGTCCAGAATTGTGCATTTTGAAGCATATCCGCGATACCGCCCTGAGTAAAATATGGAAATCTTGCAAAATTAGGTGCATAGGCATATGATAAAATTGCATGTGGCACACGTGACCTAACAGATAGTGAAAAGGGTTTGACTAGATGTAGGAAATGACTTGGATGCACTGAGGACAGGTCTTGTACATAACACATAAATTACAAACTAATACAAGATACTGGGTGTCTTATGTCCGCTTGAGGGGCGGTCGGGTAGCCTAGTGGTTGAAGCGTTCGCTCGTCACGCCAAAGACCCGGGCTCGATTCCCGAAATGGGTACAATGTGTGAAGCCCATTTCTGGCGTCCCCCGTCGTGATATTGCTGGAATATTGCTAAAAGCGGCGTAAAATCAAACTCAGTCAAAAGTTATGTCCGCTTGTAATAATACCCTGAACTGTTCATGTAAAACACATGTGAATGTACACGTTGTTACTCTTATCACAATGACATAAGGAAGAGAATGCCTGTCCCTAAATGCCTTTCAGAGACCTGATCACAATGCCCCTTAGCACATATTACTCACAGTCAGATCCATAGTTAATGGTTGGTTTTTATTAAAAGAACATTGGAATTGAAATACGTGTCTCTAGTGCTGATGCATATGTAATTTTCAGCTTGGTGGGAGTAATACACTTCATATTGTTATCAACGTTAACTGTGTGGTCACACTGAACAGAATATATCTCCGCACTTGCGATTTTCCCAAGTACATACTTCAACTGTGCGAGAGTGGTATTTATGCAAGTATATACACGTAGGTTTGAACAAGAAAATAGACACGATGCAAGCTGATCATTAATCAAATATTTTACGAACTGGTGTTTACTTATCAAACATTACACTGCACAGTGTAGCACAGTATATTGCGATGTACTTACCGAACGATCGACACAGTGGTAACACATAAACGTTACAATGCACCGACAACCATGTACGTTTAAGTTACACATATGTTCAGTGATATTTAGAGTAGGCGATCAACAGTATCTTTTTATACCAACCGTGCTCAAGTCTTCGTCTAGGTCTCTGTTGAGGCAAGCCGGTGTGAGGTGGGTGGTAACGGTAAAATGCACTATACATCTCATTGGTCACCGGTCGTGTCCCGCAGACACGAGTTGATCACTATAAATAGCTTGTAGTGCGGAGCGCTTATATTCAAAAACGCTTAAAAGGATCGAGTATCACCTTAAACAGGTTGTACCAGTATATTCTTGGGTTTTATTTGATGGTTACACCCCAAGTCTGATCTGCTTTGACAAAGAATGCATGAACTGGTTGAGTGACTATTTTCCATCAGCGTGAAAGGGCGGAATGGATTTTAAGAACTTAATTGTCCCAGAAAATGCAAGAGGTTTATGTACGTTTATGTAAATTAACATTATATATATACTCACTCGCAAAAGAAACGCAAGTGGTTTTAAGCAAATAGGTAACAAACACGGAACCATAAATTGATACGAGTTTTAGCATGTAGTGAAGCCTGATGGTGTTATCAATATTTTTGGTTGCATTTTGGAAGCCCCGAGTAAAAACGCAACATAAAAAACGAATCGCCAAAACGCACCATTTCAATGAATATGTTGGTTTCATGCACCCATTTCTCGCGAAATCGAAAATGAACGAACTGTCGAGAACTGTAGTGGGTATAAAACTGTGGCCGATTTTTGGACCTACCACTCCTTGGTCAACAATGCCACGCCTAACTCAAGTTCAGAGAAACCAGGCTATAGGACGTTTAGAAGCTGGAGAGTCTGTCCAAGATGTTGCCCGTCATTTAAACGTTAACATAACCACAATTTACCGTCTCCTGCATCGATACAATGCTACACAGACCACAGACGACCTTCCTCGGAGCGGTCGTCCTAGGGTCACCACACCTCGACAAGATCGGCAGATTACCCGTCAATACCAGAGACATCCGTTCCTAACTGCAAGTGAAAGTGCTCGACAGACCATAGGAACACATAATCGACACATTAGCCGGGACACTGTGATCCGACGTCTCCGTTCCAACAACCTCAGATGTCGCCGACCAGCACGTCGTCCTGTTCTCCAACCCCGGCATCGACAAGCACGACTTCAGTTGGCACAGGGTCATCACAATTAGCGTCATCGTGAGTGGAGGCGTGTCATCTTCTCTGATGAAAGTCGCTTTTGTGTCTCCCATGCAGACGGAAGAGTCAGAATTTGGCGGCGTCGAGGTGATCGTTTCGCAGACAGAAACGTTGTGGAAAGGGATCCATGGGGTGGACCTAGCGTCATGATATGGGCAGGGATTGGACTTCATGCGAGACTTGGACCCATGTGCTTTCTGAATGTTGGTCAAGGTCGGGGACACGGCGTCACTGCTCAGCGGTATATCGACCAAGTGATCATATCCCACGTTGTTCCATTTTTGGCACAACATCAACAACACATTTTCCAGCAGAACAACGCTCGTCCCCATGTTGCCAGAGCTACCATGGCCTTTCTGCAACAACACAACATCCGTGTTCTACCGTGGTCAGCCCTCAGCCCTGATCTGAACCCCATCGAACACTTGTGGGATGAGGTTCAAAGGCGTCTGCATAATGTGCGCCCAGTCCCTACAACTGCCGATGAACTACGCACAGCTGCTCTGGATGTGTGCAGGAGGATCCCTAGGGCCTCCACAAATCGTCTGATCCACTCAATGTACAGGAGATGTGTGGCAGTGATCAATGCTAATGGTGGTCACACCAGGTATTAGCTGACATTTGGGGTATTGACCCCAAACTGTGTAAGCCCTTAACATTTGAAAAGAACAATTATGTCATCTGCCTTTGAATCCATTAAACTGTCTTCAGTCAATTTTTTGTCAATCTAGCCCTATAAGTATTTCTTGTCTTTACTGTTGAAAATAAATAACATGTACACTGCATACTCGACTTGCGTTTCTTTTGCGTGTGAGTATATATATATATATATATATATATATATATATATATATATATATATATATACAGACACACACACACGCACGCACGCACGCACGCACGCACACACACACACACACACACACACACACACACACACGGCTGTAGCTGAAAACATATCTAGTCCCCATACAATCTTCCAATTCAAGTGGCCATATCATGCAAGTCACTGTGTTGTATCCTTCCACTTGGTTATTGACGCCACTTGCCCTGTTGTGATATAACCTAAACAGTTGTTGACTCTGTTGTGAAATAGAACAAAACATAAATTGTTCCAGACAATTCTTGAAAAATGTAATTATGCTTCAGGCTGTTGTAACAAAAATATATCTGCTCATGCAGCTGTAACATAGCTGAAAATAATATCTCCAGACATGTGATAACTGATCCTTGTTGTAAGGGAGACCTGGGGCCAATTGCACAAAACGATCTTAGCGCTAAGACTATTGTAAGCCTATGTTAAAGTATGGGAGTTACGATCATCTTAGCGCTAAGATCGCTTTGTGCAAGTGGGTCCTGGTCTTGCTCCTATTTGATGATCAGGGTGATCCCACGAGTGTTCTATATGTGATAAGTCTGGTGATTGTGCTGGCCAGGGCAATATGTTGTATAAGGCCTTGTTAAGGGGATTTTCTTGCAAGAACGGTAACAGAACAGTGTAGAGAGATTAGTCAATGTAAATCACCAGACGCTTCAGATGCCGGATTAACTTGGCTTCAGGTTCCGCTTTAACAGAACTAATGATGCCTCATTGGCAGGGCTAATGATGTCGCACTGACAGGGCTACAGATGCTGCCCCCTCCAAACGGTTCGACATCTTGAATATCAACAACGTGAGATTCGTTCTCCTCGTCGGCGGTGGACGAATTCTTCCATCTGCTCGGAAACTGCTCTCTCCTGTAAACATGACGCTTTGCCAGTTTCTGTTCTACCAGCATTGCAGTGTTTGGGCCTATCGGTCTGTGTTTCGACGACAGCGTTATGTCTCGTAGTGGTCTACAAACTCTGATATTGTACCGACTCAGTCTTCTGGACATTGTCCAGCGACTGACAGGATGACTGTCTCAGCTGATGCCGCCACAGTGGTAATATGATTCCTAATATGGAGGATACGTCAATCTCATTAAAATCAGATCTTAGTTCTCGCTGTCGCTAAACAAAGATCTGAGGACATCCCATAACGGGTCACGCCAGACACGACCTTTCATCCGACCAATCAGAGCGTCGCTTACCAGATCGTGAAAGTGACAGTCGGAATGTGTTTTCTAATCCTGCAACCTCGAAAACGTTAACACGGAGTATTATGAACGGCAGTTAAGGCCCGTACGAGTGATTCCGTCAAAATTATCGTCTATCTCTCGCTTCCGTGGGATAAACATTTGAACAGGGGAGGCGTTGCACAGTACGTGGAAAGCACTGCCAGACAATCTCAATCATATATTAGACATTTCGGAATGTTCGTTTGTTCAGTTTTCAAAATTTTAATCGAGAACTGTGTCAACATATTTTTCAAGCGTAGTCTGAAATGGAAGTCGCCAGGTTGAAACGAGTGCCGTAAAGCTCGAGAAAGCTGCTTTTTAATTGGCTGATGTCGACTTCTTGTTAGTAATTTCAGTGGTCGGTCAAAGTTCACCAAAGGTCGTTCTGACGTGACCCGTAATGGGATGTCCTCAGATCTTTGTTTAGCAGCAGCGAGAACCTATATCTGATTTAAATGAGATTGGAGGATACGTATGTAACGTTTTCCCGGGTGGTGTTGATAGGAGGTCTGCCACTCCTTGGCCGGTCTCTCGTCCGCTGTCTGTCTGTAATAGACCAGTCTTGGTGACTGTCATTCTGCTACAGCCAAAAGTCCTTGCCACATGATCATGCATTGCTCCTTGATGCATCATACCAACAGCTTGTCCTTTTTTTGTAGGGTTTATCTTAGCATGCCTCTGTCCAACGGTTTGGGTGTGAATGAACAATACATCGTTCCTTTTATATCAGGGGCGGTCGGATAGCCTAGTGGTTAAAACGTTCGCTCGTCACGCCAAAGACCCGGGTTCGATTCCCGACATGGGTACAATGTGTGAAGCCCATTTCAGGTGTCCTCCGCCGTGATATTGCTGGGATATTGCTAAAAGCGGCGTAAAACCATTCTTACTCACTCCTTTTATACCAATGTCGTTGGTCAAGTTGGTCAAATGGTCCGCCCTTAACTTTTATTAGATGACAAACTGTATCCCCCATCAGTGACATAGTTGGAATCTTCAAGATTGTACGTGACACGTTTTCATTGGCTGATATGGAGACTTGGTTGCAGCGTCTATTTACGACATTATCTATGTTGATATTTGCAATTATTTTCCCACAAAACTGTGCCCTTTAAATGAGGAACGGATGGAACTGGGTACGTTCATAGCAGGTGCAAGCCTTGCCACATGTCCAATTTGATGGTCGCTTACGACCAGCATAGGTTGGTGTGGACCTTTTCTAAACCGGAACCCTAGGGAGTTAATAAAGTGTTAGTTAGAAGGCGAACAGGTAATCACATGTGACTTGATTTGTTCAGATGCTAGGACTACCATAGCCCTAAGTCTAGGTTCTGGGTTCTAGGTGCAGAGTATTAATATCATGCTAAGTACCTGGCAGTCTTGCTCCTTAAAATACCAGATTGTTTTTGTTTATTCTTTAATCTATACTCACCTGTAAGCCCTGGGTGAGGGAAGACAGCAACGATGAGTTTCAGAGTATTTTGTCAATAAAAATCAGGCCATATAATGGTGTCCTAAACATTACTGGTTCTGGCACAGATGTGTGTTGAGGGGCGTGGGGTCGGGTCATAATAAAAAGTCATAATAAAAAGTAACAAAATTTGGCGTTCGTTCTCTTTATTCATTTGACATTCAAACAGATATTCAACAAATAAACTTGGATTAAACATCAAATTCTGATGTTACAGGCTACATTACACCCGGTCCAGTTTTGGTGCCACATTATTTTGGACCTACTCTAAACAGGGATGCAAAAATGGCAATATTAACTGGTCAGGCGCTGAACAAA